GTGGATCTTTTTTTCAGATCGCCGTTGAATGATCTGATTGGACAGTCGTTCACGAGATGTTGCACAGTCTGAGATGTCGCACCACCACGGTCGCAAACTGGACTCTTCGTTAATTTTCCATTCGTGGAAAAAGTGACCCACATCTTCCACGGAGTGTCCAAATACGATTTTAAGGAGGACCAGATCTTCCTCGGTAGGTCACCTCCTAATTGGAGGATTGTAGGGTCGCTGACGATGAATTTCTGCAGCAGGTTGGTGTTTGCCCAGGCTTCCCTCCAGGAGAGCTTTTCCACATTCTGGGTTTTCTGACTATGTATTCCTGGACCAGGGACTCGCTTTATCCGCTCCAGGATAGGGTATATTCCACCCGGTAACCCTGTGGGATGTGTGAGTGGGCTGCTTTGAGCAGAAGCTTGGTGAAGCGTTAGAAGTTTTATGGCTTTGGTAGGATCCAGGAGACGGTGCGATCGATGTCTTCAGTAAAAGGTTCCCAGTTGGCCTTCCTTAAGTTGTATCATGGCACAGAGGTGGACATGATCGTCGGGATTTCGACCCCAATATGTACCAAGACCGGCCTGTGCTGACTATTCGGGATATTGTCCAGAACCGTTCTGGAAGCTAAAAGCGGTTCAACTGAACTGGCACACGACGCAAAGCACAGGTCAGGGTTTAAAATCTGTCATCATGCAGAATGGAAGGTGCCTCGATCTTTAGCGTCGATTGGTGACTAAGAGGTAACTATTCATATGCCTATTTAAAAACTGTCCATCAGAAACTTTTTCTTAATGTAATTCTCATAAGAAACCACGGTATAAAGTGAAGCCTCCAACTACTATAATCCATGTCCCTCTCAGCCCACTATTTATGCGTTATGAAGATAGGACTATTGCCCGAAACATCACCTGTTATATCGTAATAATTTCAACTTGTCATATGCTGTGGAGGATTCACTCACTCCTTAAGAGATGATAATGACTCAGAGGCGTGAGGAAAAAAATCACAGACATGCAGGAGGGCAGCAGCCACCACGCAGTGAGCTAACGACAACATTTTACAAACCTCCAAGATCCTATATATTTTAAGGTGTTATCAACCAAATAATAAGTGTTTACACGTGTGAGGAAACCGGATCACCCAGAAAAAACCGGCACGTGCGAGAGAGAAACGCTCTACCCCACTCAGACAGAGCAGGTGGAGTCCACATTTTTGCAGGACTGCTTTGAGCCAGACCCCACTCTTTAAAGCTACTGCCCCCGAATGCTGCCGTGGAACGACTGACAACTTTTGTTTTGTTCTAATACGCTTTTATTACAACAAAACGGGAGCCTGGTACGACATGGCGAAAGATTCCAGCGACGGGGTACAGAGAATCCGCGGTAATCCATTTGGGCAAGATGGAACTACACGAAAGGGGAAGGGAATGAGAGGTATAAGGCGGCCGGAGGATGGCAGGTATATGTAGAAGGGAAGCGGTACGTAGGAAGGGGGGGGGGGGGTGAAGTCGTGGACCGACAGGCAACAGGGAGCCTCGTCCTGTGGTAGGGGCCCCCAGTAGGAGCATCCGGTGCCTTGAAGTGGGGTCAAGAGAAAGATGTGAAGGGAGAAGAGGGATGGGAGAGAATAGGAGGATGGGTGGTTGGTGAGAGTGGGAGAGAGGAAGAGGATGACTTGAGAGTGATGCGGGGGGGGGGTGGGGGGATGGAAGCACATCACAGGGTCAGCAGGAACGGCGGCGGCGTGGATGGACATAGTAGGGAGAGTAAATTAAATTGTGGTGGAACTTGGTGTTGCGATAAACAAAGCGCTTGAATGGGGAGGGTTTGTAGAAGCTCCCGTGTTCCTCCCACTTGGGTCTCTGGTCTGGACTTGACCGGGGAAGCCCGTGGAGACGAAGCCTTGGGTTTTTTTGGTTTTTCCCAGGGGATGTGTCCTTCATTGAGCACGGAGGTGCGGAGAGGGGAATTCCCCTTGTTCTAGGCACGAGGTTCGGCTCGAACCCCACGCTCTAGGCTCAAGGCCGAGAGAGCTTACGTATATCCATAAAAGCTCAAAAATTAACTAACTGGTTATCTAGGGCCCCATTCCAGGTTCCCAAGACCAAGGCAAAACATGAGAAAACGACTCAAAAGGTAATGGGGTTTTAAGGTTAAGAAAGGGTCGATTAGGTTAAGTTAGGAAATGAGTGGTCTCTGGTGTAGGCTAATTCGTTTCAAAGGCGATGCATACATTATCAGAGCATGTGTATTTGCCGCAGGTACTTGTGATTGATGCAAACTTGATGCCTTGCAAAAGGTATCTATTCGATGTTTGAACATCTTAACACCTATTTTATTTCCAGAAAAGGTAAAACCTATTCTTACTTTTTCATATTTGGGTCAATATACCAAATATGAAAGTGCAGTGCATTCCACAAATCACTTTATACAAATACTTGCGGTAATTAAGTTGACGTCGTTTATCTCTGAAAACATCTTTGGTTTTGAAGAAAGACGTGCAGCCGGCCCGCCCTGTCCCTCTCCCGTGAATGTAACGAAAAGAAGGGTCGGCTGAGGAGTGGGCGACCCCACAATAGAAGAGCACTAGAGGTTTGTGAAACGGCAATGCTTTATTTCAAAGTGTTCTTCCGAGGGGCTTATGCGTTTCTGCAACAATGACCGGACACACCTCACACAACACCTCAGTCCCTCAGCACGGAAGCTACCCCAAATCTAAATAATGACGACAACCGCTTACCATATCTAAGAACATTCAAGGTACACATTATTTAACGAAGATTTAACAAGAAACATTTAAATGTTTAACATCAAACATCGTCCCAAAAAAACATTTGTAGTGCCTCCTAAGGCAGCCGCGACAGCGGCGCGGTGTGTAATGGGTGAGCAATGCGCTGGACTCGCCATTCAGAGGTCGCCGATTCAATTCGACCTCCCAGCGTGGCAGTTGAAAACGGTGGTCGCGAGTTTCACGTGCAGGGCATTCATTTTCTGAAGAACTCCACTCGAATAGTTTACCGGTTTACCGATTTTGGGAACCGGAAACCAATTCTCAAAACCGGTGACCGGTTTTTACCAGTTAACTTTTAACACAACCCTGGTTAGTAATCGTAATGTTGTTGTGCTCGTATATATTTACATGCATACGAATTGTAGATGAAATCGATGCTCGACAAAATTTGTACAGCACAAGGTTGGTCACTCGGTGGCAAAGGGGAAACCACAGAGAAGCGCTTGGGATATGCTGCCAGAACCGGCCCCAAGCAATTTGCCCAATTTTTGTGGTGCTATATTGCAAAGTTTGGCCAGTTCCATTAATAAGTGTTGATACACATGTAGTGTCGTCTGTGCGTGCGGGTGGCATGCGTCGCACACACAGTCAGCCGGAGACGAGGAGATCGCAGGAGGCACCGTCCTCCCCTTTATTGCTGTTGAGTTCATCCCACCACTCGGGCCCCCTCTCTCACGACCACGCCGCCGCACAACACGTCCCAGACACGACCCTGTCCGCGTTGCACCGACGGCATCGACTGGGACAGCAAACTACTGTCCGGCCGCGCAATGATCGGGCGAAGGCGGCAGCGACGAGGGTGGCGACGACGACAGCGAGGACGAGTCCAACCTCAGAAATGGCAGCCCGGAGCTCTCGCTCTCCGCTGCTTTTATTCCCATCGGTGTGGCTTGGCTCCGCCATAGCCACGCCACCCTTCTCGAACCCACCAGAGGGTTCCAGGGGCTTCCCCACGAGGTCTACCGTGACCCTTGCCCCAGTTCCTCCGCCCTGCCGGCACACCCGCGTATGCTCAGCGGCGTGTGCACTAAGTGCCCACCTGCAGTTGCAGCTGCTCTACAACAGTCAGCGCTATGTCACTACACATATGTGAGGACACGAGAGTACCTGGAGAAAACTCACACGTGTGAGATGGGGGTAACACTTAATCCCTATACAGATGAAGTATAGTTGGAAATCACACCCACTTGCTGTACTGCCGTGATATCCTGTTGAGCCAGGAGATTTTGGGATTTTCAGGACTGTGTGTGTGTGTGATCCATCAACCCTCATTACCTCTGCAATGCTGCATAATAGATCACGTGCAGCATAGCCGCCTGCACATATTGCAAGCAGCATGGTGTGTAAAATTTTGGATGGAAGAGTGGTGGCAGCGCCGTGGTAATACTCAGGTCTCACAGCAAGAAGGGGCCTGGGTTTGATTTCCGACTCAGAAGTTTATATGTTCTCCCCCTGTTCTGCATGGTTTTCCTCTGGGTTCCCTCCGATATCTAGAAATCCACCCCCACCAACACACACACACACACAATGTAGCTAGCTGGTAGGGCAGCCCTCGACTTACGGACGTAATTCGTCTCTGCAACCTGTTCGTAAGTCAAACGCTTGTACGAACCACCCCAGTAGGGGTGGTTCGTACAGTTACAACAGCAAACAATACACAATACGATAGGAGTGCAAAGTGTAGTAAAGGTAAGCAAATCACTAAATATAGATACGTAAAATATATAAAGTATATAAGTTCAAATTGCATAAGTACACACAGCAGCAACATCGCCCGTCTGCTGTGAAGACCTGGCAGGACCCTCCCGAGAAGAGTCTTGAGACTTAGTGAGTTTTCCTTGGGCAAACAAGTGTCAATAATAATTACATTAATTCTTCACAATGTAACACCTCTAGGCTCTGCAAACTCTGCATATACAGTGGGTGAATGGGTCAAAGTGTAACTGGGATTTTTTACGAGTGGGTTAGTCAGTGGGTGATAAAAGAAAATCTCACAATGTTAAGCAGCCACACCTGAGCAGTCAACAGGAGGTTGTGGTGCAGACTGTTACCCGAGATTATATTGACCCACACGCTCCGCAGTCCTAACGCTCGCCCACACATAATTGCTCTCGGGCAAGGATGAAATCACTTGAGTTGCGAACACGTGGGAGAAGACGAGGCAGTGTATCGTTAGCCGTGGGGAGAAAAGTCAAACCCTCCTCCGCCCTAGGGCATGGGTGTGGATTCCTGGTGGACTGGATGAATATAAATGTGCGATTAAACGTTTTTGGATTTTGCGGATCGCCACCATCGGCCCCGTCTTCCTCCGCACAGAGAAAGCACTCGAGATGCCCTGACAGTAGACGTGAGTGGATGTGTTTGCTCAGGGTCAAGGTAGTAGTGAGTTCTCGGGGTGGTGGTGAAGCTAAAGGTGAGTGGCGATGCATATGTGCTCAAGGTGATGGTTGTGGTGAGTACTCACGACAAAGTATTGCTTACATTCAATTCCACTTCCACTACGGAAAAGACCCTAGCATTCTGTAAGCTGTATAATCGCACTTTATATAGTCGTTGAGCGTGAACGTTTAATCTTCATGGTTTATCATTTGTGTGCAGTATTACGTATCTTGTAGCCATGAATATTTTGATTCTCATATTTTGACATTTGGCCATCTGTGTGGATAAAGAGATTTGGATGAAGAGATATAAACATGTCTAAATGGGCTGTCACCTGTGTGTGGGTAAAAGCGCCCATGTCAGGGCATAGACATGTGCGCGGTGTTTAGGCAAACGATGCGTTTAATGTGTCGTATTACTTGGTGAGAGAGGCGTTTTTGAGTGACTTTACGGTGGGGTTTTTTTTTTCAACTTATTTTTTTGGGAGTCGCAGTTGCGCCCTTGCAGGATAGATAAGCAGAGGTTCTGCGCAACATGGGGAGTCGGGTATGGGATGTGGACCCCGCCCTGAGTAATATAACCTCAAGTGATCCCCACGGGCAGTTGGTGATAACAACACCACCGTATCTCACCCCAATACAGAACAATCTTTAGAGCTATTTAAATCTGCGCAGAAAACTCACCTCTTTAAAATGTCTTTTCCCATATAGTTTTGGTCCTTTATGCTGGCTCTGTCGTTTTTCCTGCTTTCCATACGCGGCGAATTGGGATCCTTGGATGAAATGCACCTTTCAAATGTATAATATTATGATTAAGGTGTACATTTTCGCAGGCAAATATTGCGATTCATAACTGGTTTTTGAGTTGGGCCACTACGATCCATTCACATTTTGTGAGAATCGCTCAACTCACTGGATGAATAGGTTGAAACGATGATAATAATCAGCAGAACGTTTAACGCCCATACACCGGGTGACGATTTCATTTATTTGGCCACGTCGGATGGTGAAGGCGTCTTAATAACACATATTTAGTCATGTCACTACAAAAGTGGCTTCACCCTTAAAAATTTAAATTACGAATCGGAATGCCATATCCTTTTCTAGGTGACACTCCGCAGGTGACACGCCATGGACAACAACCCCAAAACGATAATCTCGTTGGAGTATGAGCTCTTCTCTGCTCAAGATCTGGGAGCCTCCGTGCTGAAGTTGGAGGCCCTGACCCTGCACAAGGTTGGAGCAGAGTCGCCCACTTTCCATGGGGTGATGAAGGCGTCGGAAGAACCCGAGCGGTGGGCGAGGTGAGGACGGCTCTGTCCGTGCACGTTCCACGTCGCTCGCTTCACGCAAAGGAGCTGCTCCGAGGACCACGCTTCCACGTGGGGCGGCAGTGGTGGTGGCGCAGTGGTGACTAGAGGCCGAACAAAATTCGATTTCGGTTTCGGCGCCGAAAGTTGGCAAATGGCCATTTTCGGCACAGTTTCGGTTTCGGCTGAAATAAAATTTTTTACTTTTGGTTTACTTTCGGTTTCGGCCGAAACCAGAAATTCAGTTTCGGTCGGCCTCTAGTGGTGACGCCCGTGCCTCACAATAAGTAGGGGCCTGGGTTTGGTTCCAAACTTGGGCCACCTTTCTGCGTGTGGAATTTGTATGTTCTCCCCATGTTCTACATGGGGTTCCCTGGTGTCCTTCCATAGCAAAAAAAACCCATGAAATTTAACCGGTATTGTTCAAACAAACCACAACCCAAATGCTGAAAAATTACCTGCAATTTACCCATTTTGGATCTCACACACAGCAGCAACATTGCCCCCTTCTGTGATATCCTCACAGGGATCTCCTGAAAAAGAGGCATGAGACTTGGTGAGGCTCTCCTGGGAAGTAGTAATAATAATGGGTGAGATGAGGGTTCTGCATTGGGTGAGATGAGGGTTCGAGAGCAGATGAGACGGGTAATCGAGTCATCAGCCTCACAAGCAAGACACGTAGAGGGGACGAGCTCATCAGTAGGAGGAAGGGAAATTATCACGGGAAGAGGAGACGGATAAGGGAGCAATTGGGGAAACGCCAGGAGGGGAAGAGATTGGGATCACAGTGATGCAACAGGGCTTGTGCGGAACACGCCGGACCAAATATCAGCGGTGAGTTTATGTGTTAATGCCGGAACGTGGACCGTCGATGGATAGCCTTTCAAGTTCTTTCTTGAGGGTCTTCCCATGTGGTCCCCCCCACCTCCCCTCGGCCACTACCCGGCATCGCAGAGTGTTCACGGAGCATGATGAGGGCACAGCGCGGGAACTGGCGGAACGGCTGGACGCGTCCCTCCGCCCATTCACGAGCTGCCCGCGGGACGACGGCGACGACCAGCAGAGACGACGCAAGCTCCTGGCCGTCGCCCGGTGCCTCCAGGAGCGGCCAAAGTGGACGCTGGCGCACGTGGCGGCCTACTGCGGCCTTCACCAGGCCCTGTCTCACGCCGAGGTCAGCAGGTGGGTGCGGAGGGGAGGCCGCTGGACACAGGCTGAAGCGAGGCGATGTTGGAACAATGGTGGAAGGTTCCTGTCACATACGAGTTTAATCCATGAAAAAAAATGAATGTTGTATTTGGCTGGGTCACGTAGCCCACATGCCGAGCCACCGCATGCCCAAGTAACTTCTGTTTGGGTGTGGCACGGGCTGGAGAAGTGATGGAGTGATACGGTAGAGGAGGATGTGGAGCTGAGTGGACTTGCCGATGATCGTTACCAGCGGTGTCAAGATCGGCCTCTGTGGAGGAGGCTGGTCAAGGACACTGCTGGGGAGTTGGAGGCAGTTGCATGAGTTAAATCTCCACTCACAGCCAAACTAAGTACCAGGTCCTGTACATAAATATCAGTGCTGGGCAGACAAAAGTGGTCGGTCGTGGTCATAGCCACTTCACAGGTGCACGCTAACAGCACTTTCCCCAACAGCCTGTGTGGGTTACACGGGGGAACGTTGTGTCTTTGTGTGTGTGTTTGGTGTGCAACGAATTTGGTGACCAGTGACTTTTATCTAAATCAGTCCTGGGCCTCCCCTAGGGCGACTCAGCCTCAAATGAGTACCTGATGCGATGTCTAAACCTTGGCACTGGGGAGACAGACGACCCAGACGTGGTGCTGACCACCCACCCCCTCGTGTACCTTGCCGGCCTTCACAGGTGCTACTTTGCTAACAGCACTAGCCTCAAGAAGCCTGTTAAGGCTACACGGGGGATCTTTGTCGTTTGTGGCGGCAGGAGCATCGACGAGCCGGAGAGCGACGACGGCCGCACCCCGCTGATGATGGCTGTGGAGGCGAAGCAGGTGGCGTGCGCGCGTGGGCTGCTGGGCCTGGGCGCGCGCGCGGAGGCCGCGGACAAGCACGGGAACATCGCGGCGCACTACATGGCCTCGCAGGTCGACGACAACGTCGCCATGGTAACGCAGCATCTCCTTCACGACGCCTCACGACCAGTGTTATCACGGCGCTCGTTTGCTCGCCCAGGAAAGCCTCGCCGAGTCTCAAGACTCTTTTCAGGAGGGTGCTGCCACGTGTTTTTTGTTGATGTTGCGGTAAGGGTGGGGTGGGTGCGATGTCCCTGCTGCTGCTGCTGTGTAATTGTTGCAGCTATTCTTCTACCACTGTGACGCTTCATCATGGGACCTAGTTTGCCAGTACCAAAATATGAGAATAGGCTTTCCCCTTTTTGTCTGGCAACAAAACAGCTGTGTTGAGATGTTAAAACACCAAACTGAAACCTTTAACAAGGAATCATGTCTGCGTTAACCACAATACTTGTGGTTAGAATGCAAACAAAAAAACATACTCTGATAATATATTGGCAGTACTGTGACGCTGCTTACAGATCAGCCACTAATGAATCACTAAACAGACGCCTCCCGCTTCATCATTCTGCTCTTCGATTTGCACTTGATGTACCATCCATGACCCACCTTTGTGGCCTCAACATAAAATCCAACCTCACATCACTTGGTCCCTGTTTATCCATAAAATCCTTATTCGCAAATATGTCCTATACTTAACTAATTCATTTAACCCCGCGGAATAGATGTACTTATGCAATTTGAAATTATATATTTTATTTTTTATTAAATTAAGGGGCGCCACCGTGGTGCAGTGTTGTAAACATTGCCACGTGGGAGACAAAAGCAGCACCTATGAAGGCTGGAATAGCACACGAGCGGGGGGGTGGCCAGCACCACGCCCGGCCTCCTTTGTTTCCCCAGGGGTGATGTTCACAAGTACGTTGAACTTCTTTCGCGCCGTACGTAGCCAACCGCGCTAATCGGAGGTGCAGTTCTAAAGAAATTCGTTTTAAATCTAGATTTTTTATTTTATTTAAATGCAGTCACAGTCACGTAATCGTCACTGGTGTTGCTTGCCGTGAGCGGGAATCGAACTCGGGTCTCTGCCGGGTTCGTCGTGCGTGCACCCACCCACACTTTGCGCCTCGTCCCCTCGGCGGCGCCAGCTGATCTACGATCTGGCGGAGGGCGGCGCGAAATCGCTGGACTCGTGCAACGGCGCCGGCAGCACGCCGCTGCACGTGGCCGTGCGTGCCGGGGCGCTCTCCGCCGTCATCGCGCTGCTGGCCAACGGCGCCGACTTCGACGCGAGAGACGGGGCCCACGGAGACACGCCCCTGCACGTGGCCATCAAGGTGAGACACCCGCCTCCTCCTGATTCTGAGGGGAAATGGTTGAAGTTCAGGACAGTGGCTTATGCAGCTCAAGTGGCTGCATTAGTAACGCAGTCCAACAACAACAGAGGGCAGAGGAGCGACGCTCACAACAACGAGTGGAGCGCCAGCTGGCTAAAATGAAGAAAGTTGGCACAGTAGGGGGCACAGCTGGTTAATTTGTCAGTCATTTCAAGTCAGTCAACCCATGACACCTGGGTCGGTCCTGTTACCTCCTGCCAGCAACGAGCCTTCGATGCTTTACGTGGCCTCAAAGTGCACCTGGCCTGGCACAGTTGCCGTGGTAATTTCACCATTACTTCGTGGCGAATTGGTGAAAGTCTGTGTATGTGTTGTGGTCACTGTGTGTGTGGTGGTCTATGTGTGGTGGTCTCAGTGTGCGATGGTGTGTTTGTGCAACAATGGCACCTGGGTCTGCGTTCGACACTTCACGTGGCCTTAATGTGCACATAGCCTGGCACAAACGCCGTGGTGACATCACCGCCCCTTAGTGGCGAATGGAAGCTGTTGTTGTGTAACAATGTGTGTAAGTCTGTTAAAGGCTATATGGAGATCTTGTGTGTGATGATGCTCCGTGTCCTTACAGAGCATCCTGCAAAACATGCGCGACAGCCGCAGCTCAAGCGGCATCAATGACCATTTGCAGGTGAGCTCCACGCGTGCGCGTCTCTGTGAGACGGCTTATAGGGGACGCCTCTCGTGCGTGAGAGAGAAGCTAGGTGAGTGCAGGCGAGCACCTGGTGCGGTCGGTGTGTAAACATAGCCACTCGGCCGGGCGCGGATGCTGGCCACCCACCGCTTCGTGTGCCGTGCCGGCATTCATCGGCGCTACTCGCTAACAGCACTCGCCCTGTTGCTGTGCGAGGCGTGTTGCTCCGCGCTTTCAGAATCTGTGCACGACGGTGAAGGCCCTGGTGTTGTTTTCGGCTGACCTGACGGTGGAGAACAAAGATGGACATTCGGTGTGGGACCTTGCCGCAGACGTGCACGCCGCGGGTGAGAGATCGGCAAACGGCTCGCTTCACCGCACGCGCACCGTGTAGAGTCCAGTGGTCCCCGAACTTTTTGGCACCAGGGAACCGGTTTCGTGGAAGACAATTTTTTCATGGACCGGGGGGACGGGGGGTGGGGGGGTTTCGGGATGATTCAAGCGCATTACATTTATTGTGCACTTTATTTCTATTATTATGACATTGTAATATATGATGAAATAATTACACAACTCACCATAATGCAGAATCAGTGGGAGCCCTGAGCTTGTTTTCCTGCAACTAGACGGTCCCATCTGGGGGTGCCGCCAGTGATCTGACAGGAGGTGGAGCTCAGACGGTAATTCGAGCGATGGGGAGCGGCTGTCAATACAGGTGATGATGAAGCTTCATCTGTCAATACAGGTGATGATGAAGCTTCATCTGTCAATACAGGTGATGATGAAGCTTCATCTGTGAATACAGGTGATGATGAAGCTTCATCTGTCAATACAGGTGATGATGAAGCTTCATCTGTGAATACAGGTGATGATGAAGCTTCATCTGTCAATACAGGTGATGATGAAGCTTCATCTGTGAATACAGGTGATGATGAAGCTTCATCTGTCAATACAGGTGATGATGAAGCTTCATCTGTCAATACAGGTGATGATGAAACTTCATCTGTCAATACAGGTGATGATGAAGCTTCATCTGTGAATACAGGTGATGATGAAGCTTCATCTGTCAATACAGGTGATGATGAAGCTTCATCTGTCAATACAGGTGATGATGAAACTTCATCTGTCAATACAGGTGATGATGAAGCTTCATCTGTGAATACAGGTGATGATGAAGCTTCATCTGTCAGTACAGGTGATGATGAAGCTTCATCTGTCAATACAGGTGATGATGAAACTTCATCTGTCAATACAGGTGATGATGAAGCTTCATCTGTCAATACAGGTGATGATGAAGCTTCATCTGTCAATACAGGTGATGATGAAACTTCATCTGTCAATACAGGTGATGATGAAGCTTCATCTGTCAATACAGGTGATGATGAAGCTTCATCTGTCAATACAGGTGATGATGAAGCTTCATCTGTCAATACAGGTGATGATGAAGCTTCATCTGTCAATACAGGTGATGATGAAACTTCATCTGTCAATACAGGTGATGATGAAGCTTCATCTGTCAATACAGGTGATGATGAAGCTTCATCTGTCAATACAGGTGATGATGAAACTTCATCTGTCAATACAGGTGATGATGAAACTTCATCTGTCAATACAGGTGATGATGAAGCTTCATCTGTGAATACAGGTGATGATGAAGCTTCATCTGTCAATACAGGTGATGATGAAGCTTCATCTGTCAATACAGGTGATGATGAAACTTCATCTGTCAATACAGGTGATGATGAAGCTTCATCTGTGAATACAGGTGATGATGAAGCTTCATCTGTCAATACAGGTGATGATGAAGCTTCATCTGTCAATACAGGTGATGATGAAACTTCATCTGTCAATACAGGTGATGATGAAGCTTCATCTGTCAATACAGGTGATGATGAAGCTTCATCTGTCAATACAGGTGATGATGAAACTTCATCTGTCAATACAGGTGATGATGAAGCTTCATCTGTCAATACAGGTGATGATGAAGCTTCATCTGTCAATACAGGTGATGATGAAGCTTCATCTGTCAATACAGGTGATGATGAAGCTTCATCTGTCAATACAGGTGATGATGAAACTTCATCTGTCAATACAGGTGATGATGAAGCTTCATCTGTCAATACAGGTGATGATGAAGCTTCATCTGTCAATACAGGTGATGATGAAACTTCATCTGTCAATACAGGTGATGATGAAACTTCATCTGTCAATACAGGTGATGATGAAGCTTCATCTGTCAATACAGGTGATGATGAAGCTTCATCTGTCAATACAGATGATGATGAAGCTTCATCTGTCAATACAGGTGATGATGAAGCTTCATCTGTCAATACAGGTGATGATGAAGCTTCATCTGTCAATACAGATGATGATGAAGCTTCATCTGTCAATACAAGTGATGATGAAGCTTCATCTGTCAATACAGGTGATGATGAAGCTTCATCTGTCAATACAGGTGATGATGAAACTTCATCTGTCAATACAGGTGATGATGAAGCTTCATCTGTCAATACAGGTGATGATGAAACTTCATCTGTCAATACAGGTGATGATGAAGCTTCATCTGTCAATACAGGTGATGATGAAGCTTCATCTGTCAATACAGGTGATGATGAAGCTTCATCTGTCAATACAGGTGATGATGAAGCTTCATCTGTCAATACAGGTGATGATGAAACTTCATCTGTCAATACAGGTGATGATGAAGCTTCATCTGTCAATACAGGTGATGATGAAGCTTCATCTGTCAATACAGGTGATGATGAAACTTCATCTGTCAATACAGGTGATGATGAAACTTCATCTGTCAATACAGGTGATGATGAAGCTTCATCTGTGAATACAGGTGATGATGAAACTTCATCTGTCAATACAGGTGATGATGAAGCTTCATCTGTCAATACAGGTGATGATGAAACTTCATCTGTCAATACAGGTGATGATGAAGCTTCATCTGTGAATACAGGTGATGATGAAGCTTCATCTGTCAATACAGGTGATGATGAAACTTCATCTGTCAATACAGGTGATGATGAAACTTCATCTGTCAATACAGGTGATGATGAAGCTTCATCTGTCAATACAGGTGATGATGAAGCTTCATCTGTCAATACAGGTGATGATGAAACTTCATCTGTCAATACAGGTGATGATGAAGCTTCATCTGTCAATACAGGTGATGATGAAGCTTCATCTGTCAATACAGGTGATGATGAAACTTCATCTGTCAATACAGGTGATGATGAAGCTTCATCTGTCAATACAGGTGATGATGAAACTTCATCTGTCAATACAGGTGATGATGAAGCTTCATCTGTCAATACAGGTGATGATGAAGCTTCATCTGTCAATACAGGTGATGATGAAACTTCATCTGTCAATACAGGTGATGATGAAGCTTCATCTGTCAATACAGGTGATGATGAAGCTTCATCTGTCAATACAGGTGATGATGAAGCTTCATCTGTCAATACAGGTGATGATGAAACTTCATCTGTCAATACAGGTGATGATGAAGCTTCATCTGTCAATACAGGTGATGATGAAGCTTCATCTGTCAATACAGATGATGATGAAGCTTCATCTGTCAATACAGGTGATGATGAAGCTTCATCTGTCAATACAGGTGATGATGAAGCTTCATCTGTCAATACAGATGATGATGAAGCTTCATCTGTCAATACAAGTGATGATGAAGCTTCATCTGTCAATACAGGTGATGATGAAGCTTCATCTGTCAATACAAGGTGATGATGAAGCTTCATCTGTCAATACAGGTGATGATGAAACTTCATCTGTCAATACAGGTGATGATGAAGCTTCATCTGTCAATACAGGTGATGATGAAACTTCATCTGTCAATACAGGTGATGATGAAGCTTCATCTGTCAATACAGGTGATGATGAAGCTTCATCTGTCAATACAGATGATGATGAAGCTTCATCTGTCAATACAAGTGATGATGAAGCTTCATCTGTCAATACAGATGATGATGAAGCTTCATCTGTCAATACAGGTGATGATGAAGCTTCATCTGTCAATACAGGTGATGATGAAGCTTCATCTGTCAATACAGATGATGATGAAGCTTCATCTGTCAATACAGGTGATGATGAAGCTTCATCTGTCAATACAGGTGATGATGAAGCTTCATCTGTCAATACAGATGATGATGAAGTTTCATCTGTCAATACAAGTGATGATGAAGCTTCATCTGTCAATACAGATGATGATGAAGCTTCATCTGTCAATACAGGTGATGATGAAGCTTCATCTGTCAATACAGGTGATGATGAAACTTCATCTGTCAATACAGGTGATGATGAAGCTTCATCTGTCAATACAGGTGATGATGAAGCTTCATCTGTCAATACAGGTGATGATGAAGCTTCATCTGTCAATACAGGTGATGATGAAACTTCATCTGTCAATACAGGTGATGATGAAGCTTCATCTGTCAATACAGGTGATGATGAAACTTCATCTGTCAATACAGGTGATGATGAAGCTTCATCTGTCAATACAGGTGATGATGAAGCTTCATCTGTCAATACAGATGATGATGAAGCTTCATCTGTCAATACAAGTGATGATGAAGCTTCATCTGTCAATACAGGTGATGATGAAGCTTCATCTGTCAATACAAGTGATGATGAAGCTTCATCTGTCAATACAGGTGATGATGAAACTTCATCTGTCAATACAGGTGATGATGAAGCTTCATCTGTCAATACAGGTGATGATGAAACTTCATCTGTCAATACAGGTGATGATGAAGCTTCATCTGTCAATACAGGTGATGATGAAGCTTCATCTGTCAATACAGATGATGATGAAGCTTCATCTGTCAATACAAGTGATGATGAAGCTTCATCTGTCAATACAGGTGATGATGAAGCTTCATCTGTCAATACAAGTGATGATGAAGCTTCATCTGTCAATACAGGTGATGATGAAACTTCATCTGTCAATACAGGTGATGATGAAGCTTCATCTGTCAATACAGGTGATGATGAAACTTCATCTGTCAATAGAGGTGATGATGAAGCTTCATCTGTCAATACAGGTGATGATGAAGCTTCATCTGTCAATACAGATGATGATGAAGCTTCATCTGTCAATACAAGTGATGATGAAGCTTCATCTGTCAATACAGATGATGATGAAGCTTCATCTGTCAATACAGGTGATGATGAAGCTTCATCTGTCAATACAGGTGATGATGAAGCTTCATCTGTCAATACAGATGATGATGAAGCTTCATCTGTCAATACAGGTGATGATGAAGCTTCATCTGTCAATACAGGTGATGATGAAGCTTCATCTGTCAATACAGATGATGATGAAGCTTCATCTGTCAATACAGGTGATGATGAAGCTTCATCTGTCAATACAGGTGATGATGAAGCTTCATCTGTCAATACAGATGATGATGAAGTTTCATCTGTCAATACAAGTGATGATGAAGCTTCATCTGTCAATACAGATGATGATGAAGCTTCATCTGTCAATACAGGTGATGATGAAGCTTCATCTGTCAATACAGGTGATGATGAAACTTCATCTGTCAATACAGGTGATGATGAAGCTTCATCTGTCAATACAGGTGATGATGAAGCTTCATCTGTCAATACAGGTGATGATGAAACTTCATCTGTCAATACAGGTGATGATGAAGCTTCATCTGTCAATACAGGTGTTGATGAAGCTTCATCTGTCAATACAGGTGATGATGAAGCTTCATCTGTCAATACAGGTGATGATGAAGCTTCATCTGTCAATACAGGTGATGATGAAACTTCATCTGTCAATACAGGTGATGATGAAGCTTCATCTGTCAATACAGGTGATGATGAAGCTTCATCTGTCAATACAGGTGATGATGAAACTTCATCTGTCGATACAGGTGATGATGAAGCTTCATCTGTCAATACAGGTGATGATGAAACTTCATCTGTCAATACAGGTGATGATGAAGCTTCATCTGTCAATACAGGTGATGATGAAGCTTCATCTGTCAATACAGGTGATGATGAAACTTCATCTGTCAATACAGGTGATGATGAAGCTTCATCTGTCAATACAGGTGATGATGAAACTTCATCTGTCAATACAGGTGATGATGAAGCTTCATCTGTCAATACAGGTGATGATGAAGCTTCATCTGTCAATACAGATGATGATGAAGCTTCATCTGTCAATACAAGTGATGATGAAGCTTCATCTGTCAATACAGGTGATGATGAAGCTTCATCTGTCAATACAGGTGATGATGAAGCTTCATCTGTCAATACAGGTGATGATGAAACTTCATCTGTCAATACAGGTGATGATGAAGCTTCATCTGTCAATACAGGTGATGATGAAACTTCATCTGTCAATACAGGTGATGATGAAGCTTCATCTGTCAATACAGGTGATGATGAAGCTTCATCTGTCAATACAGATGATGATGAAGCTTCATCTGTCAATACAAGTGATGATGAAGCTTCATCTGTCAATACAGGTGATGATGAAGCTTCATCTGTCAATACAAGTGATGATGAAGCTTCATCTGTCAATACAGGTGATGATGAAACTTCATCTGTCAATACAGGTGATGATGAAGCTTCATCTGTCAATACAGGTGATGATGAAACTTCATCTGTCAATACAGGTGATGATGAAGCTTCATCTGTCAATACAGGTGATGATGAAGCTTCATCTGTCAATACAGATGATGATGAAGCTTCATCTGTCAATACAAGTGATGATGAAGCTTCATCTGTCAATAAAGATGATGATGAAGCTTCATCTGTCAATACAGGTGATGATGAAGCTTCATCTGTCAATACAGGTGATGATGAAGCTTCATCTGTCAATACAGATGATGATGAAGCTTCATCTGTCAATACAGATGATGATGAAGCTTCATCTGACAATACAGGTGATGATGAAGCTTCATCTGTCAATACAGGTGATGATGAAGCTTCATCTGTCAATACAGATGATGATGAAGCTTCATCTGTCAATACAAGTGATGATGAAGCTTCATCTGTCAATACAGATGATGATGAAGCTTCATCTGTCAATACAGGTGATGATGAAGCTTCATCTGTCAATACAGGTGATGATGAAGCTTCATCTGTCAATACAGGTGATGATGAAGCTTCATCTGTCAATACAGGTGATGATGAAACTTCATCTGTCAATACAGGTGATGATGAAGCTTCATCTGTCAATACAGGTGATGATGAAGCTTCATCTGTCAATACAGGTGATGATGAAACTTCATCTGTCAATACAGGTGATGATGAAGCTTCATCTGTCAATACAGGTGATGATGAAACTTCATCTGTCAATACAGGTGATGATGAAGCTTCATCTGTCAATACAGGTGATGATGAAGCTTCATCTGTCAATACAGATGATGATGAAGCTTCATCTGTCAATACAAGTGATGATGAAGCTTCATCTGTCAATACAGGTGATGATGAAGCTTCATCTGTCAATACAAGTGATGATGAAGCTTCATCTGTCAATACAGGTGATGATGAAACTTCATCTGTCAATACAGGTGATGATGAAGCTTCATCTGTCAATACAGGTGATGATGAAACTTCATCTGTCAATACAGGTGATGATGAAGCTTCATCTGTCAATACAGGTGATGATGAAGCTTCACCTGTCAATACAGATGATGATGAAGCTTCATCTGTCAATACAAGTGATGATGAAGCTTCATCTGTCAATACAGGTGATGATGAAGCTTCATCTGTCAATACAAGTGATGATGAAGCTTCATCTGTCAATACAGGTGATGATGAAACTTCATCTGTCAATACAGGTGATGATGAAGCTTCATCTGTCAATACAGGTGATGATGAAACTTCATCTGTCAATACAGGTGATGATGAAGCTTCATCTGTCAATACAGGTGATGATGAAGCTTCATCTGTCAATACAGATGATGATGAAGCTTCATCTGTCAATACAAGTGATGATGAAGCTTCATCTGTCAATACAGATGATGATGAAGCTTCATCTGTCAATACAGGTGATGATGAAGCTTCATCTGTCAATACAGGTGATGATGAAGCTTCATCTGTCAATACAGATGATGATGAAGCTTCATCTGTCAATACAGGTGATGATGAAGCTTCATCTGTCAATACAGGTGATGATGAAGCTTCATCTGTCAATACAGATGATGATGAAGCTTCATCTGTCAATACAAGTGATGATGAAGCTTCATCTGTCAATACAGATGATGATGAAGCTTCATCTGTCAATACAGGTGATGATGAAGCTTCATCTGTCAATACAGGTGATGATGAAGCTTCATCTGTCAATACAGATGATGATGAAGCTTCATCTGTCAATACAGGTGATGATGAAGCTTCATCTGTCAATACAGGTGATGATGAAGCTTCATCTGTCAATACAGATGATGATGAAGCTTCATCTGTCAATACAGGTGATGATGAAGCTTCATCTGTCAATACAGGTGATGATGAAGCTTCATCTGTCAATACAGGTGAAGCTTGATCTGACAATACAGATGATGATGAAGCTTGATCTGACAATACAGATGATGATGAAGCTTCATCTGTCAATACAGATGATGATGAAGCTTCATCTGTCAATACAGATGATGATGAAGCTTCATCTGTCAATACAGGTGATGATGAAGCTTAATCTGTCAATACAGATGATGATGAAGCTTGATCTGTCAATACAGATGATGATGACGCTTCATCTGTCAATACAGATGATGATGAAGCTTCGCTCGCTCGCTCGCCCATCGCTCACCTCCTGCTGTGCGGCCCGGTTCCTAACAGGTCACGGACCGGTACCGGTCCGTGACCCAGGGGTTGGGGGCCCCTGGCGTAGACGACAACAACAACAGCCGCCGTTCGCCACTAAGTTGGAGTGACGTCACCACGGTGCCTGTGCCAGGCCAGGTGCACTTTGAGGCCACGTGAAGCGTCGCAGTCTCGTTGCTGGCAGGAGGTCACAGTGCAGACCCAGGTGCCATGGGTTGGCTGACTTGAGATGACTGGCAGATGCACCCAGCTGAGCCACCTGCTGTGCCAACTTGCTGCATTTTATCGGCACTGCGCTCCACTCGTTGTTGTGAGCGTCGCTCCTCTGCCCTACGCTGTTGTTGGGAGACGAAATAGCGTCCAACAAAAAGTAAAAAAAAATAGCCTTGGAATGCTCGGCCAATACTAGTTACATTGTGTTTTGTATTACCTATGGGGGAAAGTACAAACTCCACACACATAAAGGCGCCCGAGTTGACAATCGAATTCAGGAGCCCTTGTCGCTGTGAGGCACGAGGGTTCTCACCACTGCACTGCCGCTTGTGACGATGTTTGTTGTCGTTGTGCAGGCGTGAAGGACCAGGTGTTGTCATTGCTGCGACACGGCGAGGCCTACGCACGCGCATCAGCGCCAACTCAGGTTTCAGGTGAGAACCCGGGAGGGCACGTGACCGGACGAGGGGGGGGGGGGTCAGGGGGGCACCCCAGTCGGGGGTGAGAGGATCACGTGATGGGGATCCAGAGTCTCCACGAGGGTTCTGGAAGGGGGGCGTGGCCAGGGGCGGGGCCGGCCACGCCAGGGGAGTTGTAAGCGGGGTCCCGAGAGGGATCGGGGAGTTCCACTGTGGGAATGAAGTCGCCATCCTCGGTCCTCGGTCTCCGGTCTTCACGCGTGGACCAGGCAGCCCGTTAGCTGTCCTGGTCCGACTATAGAATTGTCTCTCTGAGCGTCAGTTTAGTTAGCCGTGGTGGTCACCACCCTCTGCTGTTATCCTGTTAGAATTACCCGTTGTGTTAAATAAACGTGTTGCCTCCAAGTACAAGTGTGCGCCTGAGTTAACACACTACGTGTGTATAGTATATATGTACAATTGTACGTACGATGTTTGCACAATGTATGTACGTTCCACAATGTATATACATTGTATGTACGGGTGTATGTTGAACTATTTTATACCGTACATAGCCAATCGTGCTAATTGAACGTGCTGGGGGCGGGAATGACAACAAGCTAAACACAAGCAGTTCTAAAGGAATGAGTTTCCAATGTCGATGATTTAAAAGTGCATTGCTCCCCAGTGGCTTCTTAATATTGGAAGGAAGAGCTTTCCAGATGGCCACAGAAGTTAAGTCATTTTGTTGAGCTGTCATTTGTGGCGAGGTCACCTCTGAAGAAAAATAATAATAGCTCAGCGGGCTTTACGTGGTAAAATTAAAATAGTTTAGTTTATTTATTTGGAGTGATTTGCTTACCTTTCCTATACTTTGCACTCCTATCATGTTTGTGTTGTAACTTTCTGACCCACTCCTACTGAACATCTGTGAAAAATAGCTTCATAGCTCATCGGATTTCTCCAGGATAAATAACCTGGTAAATGAAAAGTTACGTAAAAGTTAATTGACTGTAGCACTGTTTTGAATGTGACCGTGGGGTGTCCCGTTCACCGCTCAATCTCGGAACACACAAGCAGTTCAGTGTTTATTTAGAGAGGTGAAGCGCCACTGTTTTTAAATACATTGATCGCACCGCAGAGAACCGTAGTGACACAACCGTACTCTATGATAACTGGCACCAAACTGTACCACTCGCATGGCCTTGTGGGAGTCTCGGTACCAGTAAAGTTATTTTATTTTTTCTTCTGGTTCCGATTCAAGAAAACGTATACGTACGTCATCGGAATGAAAAACAATGACGCGTACGTCTTCGGAACGGCAAAGGGTTAAGAATCAGAGAGAGGAGCGTATGTTCTACGCACATTTCTGGCATCGATGAAAGTCACAGAAAATCGCCGAGTGAATCCAGACCGTGATTGACACTCGAACTATGGACAGTGGCATCAGACGGCTCTTATTGATGATGATGCTACTGCTGCCCCCAGCAGACAGAGATAACCCACAGCACAGACCACATCACTGTTCATTTCTGTTACTATGGACCAGGACTCAATGACTCCGGTGCTGCTGCGGATGAAGACGGCAAAGCAAGGTATTTTGTTGGGATCTTGTCTTTTTAAAATATGTTCTGTTCACTGAAATAATTGATTGCAATCGCCACCTCTGAGCCCAGTCGATCAAGGTCCAAGAAGGGATTCATGCAACCTCACGCAATATCAAAAATCCCCCTCCTGTCCTTGTTGCAAAATTCCTACCAGGTATGGACACAGCTTGGGGCAGCAGCCCTCATCATCCAGCAGTGGATTTACAAAAGGGTTGCACTCAATTGTGACGTATCGTTGTGAATAAGTACCGGTTATGTATGTGTTGAACCTCTTTTGCACCGTACATAGCCAACCACGTTAATCGGAGGTGCGGGGGAAGGACAAACTAAATACAAAAAGCAGTTCGAAATGAATTTGTTTTAAATCTAGATTTAAAAGTGCATAGCTGCACAGTGGCTTCATAACATTGGAAGGAAGAGCGTTCCACAGAAGCGCATCTGAAAGCGCAATACAGTGATCGTCTTCGTTTGCTAGACAAAAGCCGCTGCTGCGAGGAAAACCGGGAACCGTTCACCCAACCGCATGCCACCTCGTTTGTGTATTGAGTTTTTGAGCCAAGCCAGGCCAGAATTGAGCAAGGATCAGACAACCACCAGTCATGATGATGATGTATGTATATAAACAAAGTATCATTAATTATACATCAATGCGGGGGATGTGCTGCAGGCAATTTAAAATTAAAGACAAGCCACAGTAGTTGGATTGTGGCCATCCAACCCAAACTTTGGGGCCCCACGGTGGCACGATGTTAAATAACTTGCCTGGTACGCAGGAGGTCATGGGTTCGATCCCGACCCTGACGCCTGTATATTTGGAGTTTGCGTGTCTCTCTCCCTGTGATCATGTGGATATTTCTCCGATTCCTCAGATTTTTCCCTCCACATTTAAAAAACACGCATTTCGATTATTTGGCTGCGATACATTTGCACATGATCAGCGACTTCGTTGAGCTATCATTTGTGGCCAGGTCGCCTCTGAAAAAGAGCTACATAGCTCTGTGGAGTATACCTAGTAAAAGAACAATAGTTACCCGACCCCCGTGGTGACTCGGTGATCATCTCTGTGCACTCGTTGCAGCGTCACGGGCGGCAGTGGTGATGGTGGTGGCGCGGCACCTGTGCTCGGTGGGGGAGGCCGCGTGCTCTGCATGGACGGCGGTGGCATTCGGGGCCTGGTGCTCGCTCGCATCCTTGATTTCCTCTGGCGAAAGAACAATCGCCGGAGCTTGGCTGAGCTCTTTGACTGGGTGGCCGGCACCAGCACGGGCGGCATCCTGGCAATCGCCATAGTCCTCGGTAAGTCCTCGTATTCCCGTATCATCATCACCACCACCACCATCATCGAACTCTAGTAGAGCAGTGTGTCACATCGTGTTATTAGAGAATGGCCCACGGAACCTAATATCATAGAGCTAGCTCTGAGATCTCCTTCTTCAAATGATGCTTTGGCTCACACAGAAAAGCCTACGGAACTTGATACCATTAAGCTACCTATGAGAGATCTCTTCTGCAAGTGACCTGTGTTGCGCACAGTAAGGAGCAGCACTTTCCCACCCGCCCTGCCACTGAGAGTAGTGTTCGTTCTCTCAGTTGGAATTCAGCCTAACGTAGTGCAGAACCAATTTTTGTGTATATACAAAATTGTTTTATTCCACATCCTCCCTCACATCATAGATTACAACATTCTGACGTTCCAGCCAGTAGTACCGGGAGCATCGACGGTATCAGTAGGCACACCAGACTCATCCGAGCAGGCGGGGAAAGGGGAGGAAGGTATTTTCTTTGGGGTGTGGGGGGGGGTTGGCCAGTCATTACCGTTCTTGGTTCAGGCGTTTAAGACTGGTATAAGGTTTAGGAATGGACCCCATGCACGTGTTGTATTCTTCTTCCCCGTCTCTGAGCTTATAGCTCAAATCCTCCAGTGCTGAGATTGGTTCTAATGAATTTGAGCCATTGAGTATGGGAGGGGGTGGGGTGGGGGTTCGTCACTCTTCCGCCTGCTCAATATGGTTTTCCTGGCCTGCTATATTGAAAGTCTCTAACAAAGCGTTCTGTTCTCGGATCAGCCCCGCTTCTCTTCGGCACCGCAGAGTAGTTTCCACACTCATATTGACAGATGCATTGTTAATCATTGAAAACCTCCGTTATGTGTTCATAGAGCTCAGCAATAGTTGGACATGACCAGAAAGAATTTCCGTTATCGTGCACTACATCCGGGGGGCACCTCGGGCAGTCCGGAGATGAGGCTGCATCACACGTGGCCCTACTCTGATTGGACATGTAGGCCCCAGTGCAAAATAAAATGTAATGGCTATCAGAGGTTTTTGTTGTTTTATGCATTCATTTGTGACTGTGCGGAGATCAAACTCGCGACACTTGAGAATCTGGTTTAATAACGGTTGGCAGCAGTCTGGATTTTAAACCCAAGTACCTCATCTGTGATGGTTCGGAGCTCTGATTGAACCCGGTCACCTCTCCACATTCATTCGGTGTTAACGTTGAGACTTGCCCGAGTGGGATGCAGATAACGGTCAGGGAATCAATTGAAGTAAATATTACGATTATTCCACTTTGTTTACCCAGGAGAGCCTCGCGAAGCCTCAATAATCTTTCTCAGGAGGGTCCTGCCAAGTTTTCGCAATTGGGGGTCAATGCTGTGGTTGTGTGTGCGATCTCAATTGAGTCATTGAAAGTTTTTTGTTCATTCAGAATGTATATATTTTGGCCAAAACCAGTTACACGTCACTTTTTGTAGCTTTGTGAGGAAACCGGAGAACCCGGAGGAAACCCATGCAGAAGAGGCGGGAGCGAGAGCGAGAGAGAACACACAAAGTCCACTCACAGAGAGAGGAGCCCGAGTCGGGAGTCAAACCAAGGCCCCTTCTCGCTGTGAGGCACGAGCGTCACCACCTATCGCCACGAAAAAAAAAGGTCAAGAAAAACTTTGCCGTTGGAAAGTGTTTTTTGTTTTTTTTATAACGTTGCTTGGTTTGTTTCAGGATTTCAACCACCGAAAATAATAGGGACGTACTTACAATTGAAGGACAAAGTGTTCCGAGGAGCCAAGCCACATTCCACCATAAAGCTGAAAGAGGCCATGAGAAGTGTATTTAAGAACGTTAATCTTGGATCCACCACACACCCAAGGTAGCGGCATCTCCTCAACTAACCTTACGCATCATTACACATCATTACACATCATTACGCGTCAGCATGAACACCTCATTCGAGACCCAAACATCGCACCACCTCCTGGCTTTGACATTGCTCCTCGAAGACACTGGTGGTGTAACCATCAACCGCATCAAAACATCAACGGGCCAATGCGCACCAGATATCTTTCATGAATGGAAAATTAAAGACAAGAGCCACAGTAGTGCGATTGTGGACATTTAACCCAAACTATCGACCGTATAGTAATAGATAAACTGCAGTCTGTGGGCCCTCAACGTAAGTATAGCACAACTGTATGCATGATCTCGCTCCTGCAGCCCTCTCGTCATGGAGAGCAGACCTCGACATTGGCATTTAGCCCCTGAGTGTGCGCAACAATCCAGGGGGGGGCTGCCGTGTGCTGGCTCAGAGGTCAAAGACCCTGGGCCGGCTGCTCCGAGATCCTGGCTGGATGTTAAACGAAACTAATAACCTAAACTCTTTTTTTTATTTTACCAAGCAAGGCCCACTGAGCTGTATAACTATTTTTCAGAAGCAACCTGGCCACAAATGAGCAGCCTTGCCTGCCGGAGGAGCTCACTGATGGGAATGTGTCCAGATATTTAAGGGATTTGTGAGCTCATATAATCCAGCCTGGTTAAACCCAGGATAGATTGTAGGCAGGCCAGCCTGAATGTTTCTAACCGGCGCAGATGTTCCATTAGAGGGGTCCATGTTTCACAGGCATAGAGGAGGGAGGGCATGATTGTGGCCGAGAAGACCCAAAGCTTCGTGCGGAGCGACAGACTCCAGGTAGCTTCGGCACAGCAGTACGCAGCAGGTATGGGAAACTCTCCACTCTCTCCACAACTGCTCCATCACCAATGGGGAGCTGAGGGGGTGGAGTGTTTGATGGCACAAAATACCCAGGCAGGTGCTTAGTTTTGGTGGTGCTAATGATAAGACCCCACCTCTTAGTAGCACATTCCAGGTTCAACAACAGCATCTCCATCTTCTTCTCTGAGTGAGCAGCAATCACCAGATCATCAGTATATATAAAATGGTGACCAATAGGAAGCCATCCCTCAACTGCACCTAGGCATCTATCAGCCTCCCATTGTATCTGTACCAGATGGAAATTCCTCTGGGACAGCCATGGAAAGGTGCTTGAACTACGTGGTCAAAGATGATGTTAAATAATGTGGGAGCCAGAGGACATCCCTGTCGCACCCCAAGGTAAACAGGGAATGGCTCCGACTCTGACTTAGACTCCTGACCACGTAGCTTTACCCGGGCCTGCCCACCATCATGGAGGCCCTTAATGATTGTGAGCAGAGAATCAGGGACTCCAAAAGCAGGAAAAACTGTTCATAGCCTTGGCCTGTTGATGGTATCATAGTCCTTGACCAGGTCAATAAAGCAGATATGTAGGTCTTGTTGGAATTCCCTGCACCTCTGCTGAAGCAGACGGGCATAGAATATGGCATCCGTGCAGGACCGCCCTGCTCTGAAACCACATTGGAGCTCCGCAAGCCTTTTATCTGCATGCCTGGCAAGGCGATGTTGAATAATCCTTGCCAGGACCTTTCCGGGCATACTGAGAAGAGAGATGCCCCTATAGTTATTACAATCTGTGCGGTCCCCCCTCTTAAAGAGGACATCTTAAAGAGGAGGGGGGGGCAGTAGGGCATCCTTCAAATCCTGCAGAACCTGTGCTGTGGTCCAAACAGTTGTGATAATGTCACGGGCAATCTGCACACAGATGGCACCATCCCTCAGCATTTTTCTTTGGAGATCGTCTCGGCCCGGCGCTTTTTCTGGTCTCAGACTTCCGATCACCCCTCGCACTTCCTCCACAGATGACACCTCAGCGAACCATTCAGAAGGGGTGGAAACTTCTGCCAGTGTTTGAGGCACCGCAGCCTTACCAAGGTCATCCCCACCTTGCCCCATGATGTAGTCTGGTCTAAAGGAATTCCCCACCCCTAAGACCTCACAAAAATGCTTTGCAAACCTGCAGACCTGTTCCTGGGGTCGGAGATCGGATTACTGTTCTTTCCCTTAAGGATGGTGATAGGTGAGGTACTGCAAGTTACTTTTTTGATTAGATTAAATAGTGATTTGTGATTTGCACTACTGAGGCAGATTCCACCTCCTCAGCAGCCCGTGCCCACCACTCATCCTTGCAGCGCTTCACGGCTCTCCGAATCTCCGAGCGAAGGCTGCAGTAAGCCTTCTCATTCTCCGATGTTGGATGTTGTAGATGACTGGAGTGGGCCTGTCGTTTTCTCTCAACCAGCCGGAACACCTCCTCCTTCAGCTATGGTCTCAGGGAGGTCTGGACCATATACCCAATGCAGTCTTTGCATTTGCGTGAGCCACAGTCCTGAAACCCATTTCTCCTCAGCATCAGGAGGGGGATGATGCCAACCCCAGCTGCAAGCAATGTTCAAATTCCTGCTTGCAACTATCCTCACCTAGCTGAGACCAGGCCACTGTGGCTTTGAATGCGGTCCTAGACGGACCCCCACCACCGGAGTGGAAGAATTGCAGGAGCATCTTACAGATGACAAGTCGATGGTCAGTTGGGCAGATCAGCTCCACAGTAATTCCTGGTGTCAAGGACATGGGCCCACATCTGCTGGGCCGTAATTATATAATCCAGCAGATGTTCTTGCTTTGACCCGGCGTGCATCAATGATATTATATGGATGCATCGATGCCGGAACAGTGTGTTCATAATTACAAGCCCATGGGCTGCACAGAAGTCGAGCAGCCGTTATTGTTGAGCTGATCTGGCCCATGCCTTCTAGTCACGCCAACCCAGGTGGCTGCATCACGACCCACTTGGGCATTAAATAGTAATATTGAACTCGCCCACGGTAATCGGCGCGTTCTTCAAAACGCTTGCACACCGCGTTACAGTTAAATATTTTTGGCCTGCATAGGGTGGCAGAGGGCTGGTAACGACAAAAATTTGGTCAGATCATGTGACCTAACTTTGAAATCCATTGTTGATCATGGCATTGACCTAAAAAAACCTACTCCGTGTCAAGTCGCTGCGTTAAATAAATGCCAGTCGCCGCTGAGTGAAACTGCACAGTTAAGAGCTCTGGGTTGTCTAAGCGAGAGATGGCCATGCTTAGCATTTCTGTACATGACCCTTAGCTGTTTGGAGGGCTGGCCAGCTCAAGCCCCATGAGTGTCTCACAGTCGCACGTGGCTCTCCGCGTGACAGGGTGATGGTGACGTCCACCAAGGTGGACATTTTTCCAGTGGACCTGATGTTGTTCACGAACTACAAACATCCTGAAGCAGAGAAGCGCGGAGACTCCCCCGGTCTTTCAGGTGACGCATCCCATCAATCGCACTGCCTTCTGGGAGTGTACATATGCATTTTTTGCAGCAGCTGGGTTTCAACATTTTTGTGTCTCATCAGCAGAGTCGGGCCAGTAGAGCGGCATGAGGGGTAGGCGGAACCCTCACCGGAAGAGGCTCCCTAGAACTTGCGCTGTTGTGATTTGGTTTTTCTCGTCATACCAGCAGATCTCATCGACCATCGCATGTCGGACCTTCCCGCGTGGCAGGCGGCCACGTGGACCAGCTCGGCGCCATTCTTTTTCTCGCCGATCTATGACCTGGTGGATGGGGGCCTCCTGGCCAACAACCCCACCATGACCATGCTGGCAGAGATCTACTACCACAGCAGAGGCTTGAAGTCCAAGGCAAGGCCTAAAACTAAACTTTTATTTTACCAAGTAAAGTCTCACTGAGCAACTATCTATTTTTAAGAAGCGACTTGGGCACTAATGATAGCTCAACGCAGTGGCTTATTATCCCAGCCAAATACTCTCAACGCATGTTTCTAAATGTGGAGGGAAAGACTGGAGGACCCAGAGAAAAATCCATGCAATCACGAGGAGAACGTGCAACTCCCCATTACAGATGTCATGGTCGGGATCGAACCCACGCCTTCCTGTATACCAGGCAAGGTAATTAACATCTCTCCATCGTGGCACCCACGTTGTATGCTGCGCTGCGTTTGCGACGAATTGTCTTCACCGTGACGTTCCAGGAGCCAGGTCTGGACGAACCCTCACTGAAGGTGGTGTTGTCCCTCGGCACTGGCAAAAAGCCCCCAGTGGAGGTCGGGCCCCCGTTCCCAGACTGCAACTGGGAATTGATCTTTTCAAAGCATCGAAAAAAAATGCTTCATTGCATCAGCTCCAGTGTAAGTATAACCCCGAGCAGGTCACACAATACACTGCACTGCCGACGGGCGAGTTGTGATGTGCGGCAAGGTGCATTAACCCTTTTCCGTTACGAGACATCTGCAAGTTGCAATGTCTCCCTCCTTTGGGGGGGGGGGATCCTCTCCATGCCCCCTTAACCCACTAACCATCTCCATTCCTACCCCTGATATCCCTTCCAAGTACTTACAGTCGACTCGGTTATACATGTTGGTATACACGAGTCGACTTTGAGGTCCTCTAAAACGAATGTGAATGAAATCAGGCAAAGTGTTGTGGCTATAGCGCTCCCCCAGTATTGCAATGATAACAACTGTGGTGTTGTTATCAAACACCTGCATCTCTCAAGGAGTCATCCTCCTGAATGTCTCACCATTGCCACCACCATTGTCGTGAAATCATCGTCAAAGTTAACTAAAAACACATTAAATCTTGACTTAAAGCTTTCGTGACTGCAGGAATTCATATTCTTTGGGTCTTTTGGTAAAGCTATGTAGACAGAAAAAAATTACAAAAAATATCGACGTTTTGATCGCAACACAAGCGGTCGTCTTCAGGAAAAGGGGGGTCAGCTTCTAAAGACAACTGCTTATAAAGTTTTGAAATGGGCGTAGCCCAAATGTCAGCAGCCAATGCCAATGCAAGTGGTTGGCAGCGACCGCGGCTGTGGTGGGCTTTCCACCAATCAGAGGGCTGCCAGGCAAAAATTAGCATGTCAATACAAGATCGCCGAGCCTTCTACACGGCGAGTGCGCCAAGGTGGCTATGTTAATGTAAGAGATTAGCATGTTAATGGAGGATCGTGAAGCAGCCGCCTCTAGGATGGCGCGTGAGGTAGTAACAACTGTGTTAGTGAGAAATGTAAATGTAAAAAAATCAGAGCCGAAAATAACAACTAACATCGGAAGGTGGTAGGCTGGGAACATCACAGCCAGTTATGACTTAAACTGGTTAATAACGTCCTTCCAATGATTGCTGAGTTTCCACCCATCTTCTCGGTTGAAATTGTGTCCGTGTTTATATATCTGGATGGCTTTATGAACGAATGTTTGTTGATAGCCAGTGGGTTCGCAGAGTACCTTCGTCTTGGAAAAATCTATTTCGTGTGTACACACGAAATTGAAATCTATTTCGTGTGCACACACGAAATTGACTATATAAAAACACATTGTTCTTCGTAAGTACGTATTTATTGTAGTAATTGTTATTCAACATTTACTCCTCCCCCATCCCGCTATATTCACTCGTACCAGGAACGTAACCCCATTTTTTCGATTGAAACCAGATTTCTGTACTTCGCAAATTCTACATTTGCGAGGGTTTTAAAGAACGTAACCCTTGCACATAGAGAGGGTTCACTGTACATGGCTACTTATTAGAGTGGTATTTTTGTGAGGCTTTCCTTGGTAAACATGCTGAATAATAAGAATAATCCACTGTGCCTCTCGAGAGCAAAGTAACGATGTTTGTGCGTGAAAGGGTAGAGTTGAGTGGGGAGCGGTAATATCGCAGTTAGCGCTACGCTGCGCTACGAACTCGGTCGCCCGAGTTCAATTCCCGTGCACGGCCAACACCAGTGACGATGATCTGAACCGGTCCTGGACCTCCCCGAGGTCAACTCGGCCTCAAATGAGTACCTGATGCGGTGTGTGAACATCGCTACTGGGAAGACAAAGGCGGACGGGCGTGGTGCTGGCTTACCCACTCTCTCGTGTGCCCTGCCGGCCTTCATAGGTGCGACTCGCTAACAGCACTTGCCCCAACTTTCTGTTAAGGCTATATGGGGGGGGTCTTCATCTTTGTCTACAGCTGACTTTCACCGAAGCGCATCACCTGAAGGCCGCTGAGGCGTGGTGCCAGACCGTCAAGGTGCCTTACTTCAGGTGAGATTCTCGTTGAGCTAATGTGGACAATAACACGGAAGACAAATCACGCACACGCATGGCAGCGGAGTAGTTGTGACAACGCTCGCGCCTCGCAATGAAAAGGAGCCTGGGTTCGACTCTGGGAGCCATTCTGCGTAAAATTGTTGTGTTCTCCCCCTCTGTTCTGGATGAGCTTCCTCAGTGTTTTCTACTTTCCTCCCCATATCTAAAAAAACAACAACACAGACCCCAATGCTGAAAATGTACATGCAAATACAGCAGACAAATACAAATACAGTAGGCTCTCGATTATCCGCGCTAATGACGGGGAGGGCGGCTGCGGATAATAAAACATCGCGCATAATCCAAAAATATAAAACAAATTCCGCGGATCTCTATGCCAAAAACCACTAATATTGGTATAAATTATGTTTACGTTTCTCTGTCATCGCCCGGTTTTGTCAGTGATAACTCACAAAATAAATGATCAGATGAATCACTCCAAATTAAGCACAGCTGACGATTTCGATTGTTACTCTTTCAATTTAGAACGAATACTAACGATCACCTGATTGATGCGTGTGCTCGGTGATAACACTTTCCTGCTCCCGGGCGGAAGATTCGGCCCACTATGTGGATAGCAGAGCCACACCAATCAAAATAATTCAAACGTCGCCCACCGTTGTAAAGATATGCAACTACTTTTCTGTAGTGGTGATCACGTGGATTTCCGATTAACTGGAGCACATATTTGCTCGCTTTAAGCACGCGACTTGTAATAAACATTTCCAATAATGATAATGCATAACTGCTTTTAGATGATTAATTTGCGCTTAAGGGAAAATCCATGAGTTATTCATTTACGTCAAAATATCAGGTGCGAGGTTAATACTCAAAATCGGATAAACCACACGCAGACAACTAAGAGTCTACTGTAACTTAATTGGAGTTATACACAGCAGCAATGTAGGCTCCTCCACTGCGACAACTTGACACCCTCAGGAAAAAAATGTCTTGAAACTCGGGCATTGCTGAGTCAACGAGCGCACTGAGAATAAATGTTTGCATTAAGAATGACAACCGGCGGCCACTGCGGTTTCAGATTAGAGTGCGCCTGGCGTGTTTTCTGTAACTGCGCCCTCTTGTTGTGAAATTTATTTAAGGCGGTGGTTCTCAAAGTTTGGTCCGCAGAACCAGCAGTGGGTCTGCGAAAGGTCCTCCAGGTGGTCCGTGCGGCTGTGATGCAAACGCAGGTTGATCCGGAAATATTTAAAATGTTTACACCATTTGTTTCGGACATTAATATTTAGTAATATTTAACAAAACAATGAAGTTAGGTAAACTACCCCTATTAAAGCATTCTAATCCTAAGATCTGAATTCCCCCTCCTAAAAAAACTTTACAGCTGCGTTTACTTTGTCTGTTCCGGTAATATGAATCATCTTGTATTACTGGTATTTAGATAGAGAAGTGAAATGAGGTTTGTCACCAGCGTTGGGGGGGCTGGGTGGTGGTCCGCGGAAACGTTTGCATCGGCCGAGTGGTCCTCAGGACAAGACAAGTTTGAGAAACACCGCTTGAAGGCGAACAGCGCCGCTAAACCTTTTTTTGTGTTCCGTTGCAGGAAGAACCCCGAGCTCGAAGACCACGTCGAGATTGATGAGACGGACAACACAAAGTTGCTCCAACTCATAAAGGAAGTGGATGACTATATACTCGGTGATTTGGATAACATGTCACACATCGCGAAGCTGTTATCACCCCTCTAGGTCACTGGCGCTGCTGCAGCCAACAAGTGCCAGTAAGCTGGCACAGTTACAGGCTGCAGCTGCCAGTAAGGCCGGCACGTCCTCCTCACCTTGCGTCGTCCGCTGCTGATAAAACGTCACGGCGTGAACCGATTACATTTGACAGGCGCCTCCCAGCGCCAACAATGAGCTACGTTTGGCCACGAATTCACTGTTGCCCATGCTTTAAGTCACACGGTCAATTTAATAATTTACACTGGGAGGCAGATTGGTATCGGCGGCGCAGTGGTGATGCTCTTGCCTCGCAGCAAGAAGGGCCTGGGTTCGATTCCCTATTCAGGCATCTTCCTTTGTGGATTTTGTGTGATCTCTCCCTCTGTTCTGCATGGGTTTCCCCACTGGGTTCTTTCGTTTTCTCCCATGGTTAAAAAATAATCCCCCACATAATGTAACTGGTATTTACCAAAGCATTCCGATGCGTCCCATTGCTGGATACGTGTTACATCTGTTTTCCGGCCTGCATTTGCTTTGCTGTTGTGATGGGATTTCTCATCATTTGCAGATTTGAACTGCGAGATTTTTTTACGGGTTAAAGTTCCCCACTGTCAGATGGTTGTCCACAGTGCACCGTGCCAATTCCAATCAAAAATACCAGCGTGGCTTTTTAAATTAAGAGTTGATTGCTGGTTTATCGGCTGTGTTTGGCTGGTCAGGGTAGTTCAGAGAGGCAAATCTGTTTTAACGGTTGGTGATAATATGCTGTCCGTGAGGTGTGGGCAATCTATCTGGAGTTATGCTATTGTGATTCTAGCAAAGTGGTAGAATGTTCCTGCAGATACACCTCGTCGATTGGACCTTAACCATCTATGTGTGTGCTGCTGCAATTTATTAAATCGTTAAAGTTGATCATCTTAATTTTCACACACAGCGTCTGTACATAACACACTGTTATCGGATGCTTCTCGTCATGATGAAATTCGCTTATGTCTCATGTTGTGGTGGTGGTAAAAATAAAATACATTTAAAAATTGAAGTTCAGGTTTATTTTGTTTGACCAGGTGAGAATTCAAGCAACTCAATTGCACGAGTGGGGGAATGAGTGGGTAAGTGTGCTGGTTAGTTCGTGAGATGGTGGGTGAGTAAATTATTGAGTGAGGTTATAACAGACCAATTCAGACCCTATTGGTCACCCCGCGCCACTTATAAATCTCAACGTTCAGCCTTGCAAAGTTCCATCACAATGGAGAAACACAAACAAATTGACGAATTTTTTTCCCCCGTATTTAAACGGCTGTACGCCGTATGGACCTGAAAAAAAATCGATTTTTATTCTACAAGAACACGGGTACACCGTATGTGTTGACACGGTATGTCATTGCCCTCTCTTAAACAACAATACCACGATTAAAAACCGGACCTGGCTCTCCGTGGCAATTAGCAGAGCAGCACAATTGGACCGTGTGATTCATCGCAGGTGAGCTCACACCGGCCCACACCTGCAGCGCAAATCGTCTCGGGTGAGCTCAGCTCCAGATGTATGACACACACCTGTCAGCCCATAGGTTTACCCCACATTCTTGCGCAAAGAAATCGAGTTTTCAGGTGCATTCGGCGTACAGCCATTTCAAAACGGGCACATTTTTTTGTCAATTTGTGTTTCTCCATTGTGTAATGGGACTTTGCAAGGATGAACGTTGAGATGTATAAGGGGCACGGGGTGACCAGTAAGGTCTGAATAGTTTCATAGTTTCATTTATTTGGTATAGCCCTGTGAGCCATTCGGCTCTTGAATCGGGTGCAACCGCAACAAACAAACAAAAAAACATGAACAAGAAAAACATCTTAAAGTGACTATGTGTGACTGTGCAAACAGAAAATCCATGGAAAAAAAACATCTAAATATTCCTGATAAAAGCACCGCACACCAACGCTGTGTGCAAAATGCCAGTGGGATGCAAGTTAAACAAGAAAACTTAGATTAAGGCCATCAGTCTAACTCCGTACTACAATAAACAAAAACATGGCGAAACCAAAAAACTTTTAGAAATCACCAAAATAAAGCCATAAATGCAATGTAACAGTGATCATAGGAACTGTGCCCGAATTTTTTTTACAATAAACTACATAAATAACATGTAACACCAAACCCTAGAGCCATAGCTGGCTGCATGAGTCACTCCACAAACAACAGGAGCATCAGTCGGAGTATCACATTTTTCAATGCACCTTTAAGATCAGCTACACTAAATCAATGAATTGATCTGTAATAAGGGGTTTACAGGTATGTAGTAGTGTAGTGTATAGTAGTGTACAGTGAAACCTTGCATTGCGAGCATAATTCGTTCCGGAAACGTGCTCGTAATCCAAAGCACTCGTATATCAAAGCGAATTTCCCCATAAGAAATAATGGAAACTCAGGTGATTCGTTCCACAACCCAAAAATACTGTATTCATATAAAAAATGATTAATACAAAATACCTTTTAATTATTTAAATGTCGTATAAAGTAATCAAATGTATTAATTACATTTAATCGTGGCTGGTGCGAGGGAGACAAGAGTGAGGAGGATTATTGTGTAGGACGACTTTCACTTGCAGTACAGTTGTAGAGGAGTAGAATGGGGAAGTGGCGTCACGTGCGCTGTCCAGTGCGATGACGTGACGTCATGCGATCGGGGCAGCAGAATGACGTCTCGGCTCCTCAAGTATAAAGGGGGGGACCCCGTGACCTCAGCGGGGTCGTAGCTGGTGAGGAGGGTCGGAGAAGGGTGGAACGGGGGGAGCCAGGGGTTTAGGGATAGGGGAGAGGTCACAGTGCCAGGCTGGACGTGGCTGTGCTCCTCGGTCGGCCGTGTTGGCTGATCCCACGGCCGGCGCAGAGGAGACAGCTGTGTCGGGACCTAGCCCGGGACTCCCCTAACCCCAGGGAAGTTGTTCACCCCCTGTGTGTGCTGTTAATATTTGCAATAAACCTTTGGCGGAAGCCCTTAACTTACCTCGGCCTCCGAGTGAGTCGTCGGGAACTTCTCAACACAGTTACTAAAGAACAGTCTCTACACTTGGACACAAAATAAAAAAATGCTTTACACACACACCACTATACTGTAGTAAACAGTATACACGTGGTCACAACACTATAGTACTGTAGTGAACAGTATACACGTGGTCACAACACTATAGTACTGTAGTGAACAGTATACACGTGGTCACAACACTATAGTACTGTAGTAAACAGTATACACGTGGTCACACTATAGTACTGTAGTAAACAGTATACGCTTGGTCACAACACTAAAGTACTGTAGTAAACAGTACACACGTGGTCACAACACTATAGTACTGTAGTAAACAGTACACACGTGGTCACAACACTATAGTACTGTAGTAAACAGTACACACGTGGTCACAACACTATAGTACTGTAGTAAACATTATACACGTGGTCACAACACTATAGTACTGTAGTAAACAGTACACACGTGGTCACAACACTATAGTACTGTAGTAAACAGTATACACGTGGTCACAACACTATAGTACTGTAGTAAACAGTACACACGTGGTCACAACACTATAGTACTGTAGTAAACAGTATACACTTGGTCACAACGCTATAGTACTGTAGTAAACAGTACACACGTGGTCACAACACTATAGTATTGTAGTAAACAGTATACACTTGCTCACAACACTATAGTACTGTAGTAAACAGTATACACTTGGTCACAACGCTATAGTACTGTAGTAAACAGTACACACGTGGTCACAACACTATAGTATTGTAGTAAACAGTATACACTTGCTCACAACACTATAGTACTGTAGTAAACAGTATACACTTGGTCACAACGCTATAGTACTGTAGTAAACAGTACACACGTGGTCACAACACTATAGTATTGTAGTAAACAGTATACACTTGCTCACAACACTATAGTACTGTAGTAAACAGTATACACTTGGTCACAACACTATAGTACTGTAGTAAACAGTATATACGTGGTCACAACACTATAGTATTGTAGTAAACAGTACACACGTGGTCACAACACTATAGTACTGTAGTAAACAGTACACACGTGGTCACAACACTATAGTACTGTAGTAAACAGTACACACTTGGTCACAACACTATAGTACTGTAGTAAACAGTACACACGTGGTCACAACACTATAGTACTGTAGTAAACAGTACACACGTGGTCACAACACTATAGTACTGTAGTAAACAGTATATACGTGGTCACAACACTATAGTACTGTAGTAAACAGTATACACGTGGTCACAACACTATAGTACTGTAGTAAACAGTATACACGTGGTCACAACACTATAGTACTGTAGTAAACAGTATACACGTGGTCACAACACTATAGTACTGTAGTAAACAGTATACACTTGGTCACAACACTATAGTACTGTAGTAAACAGTACACACGTGGTCACAACACTATAGTACTGTAGTAAACAGTACACACGTGGTCACAACACTATAGTACTGTAGTAAACAGTATACACGTGGTCACAACACTATAGTACTGTAGTAAACAGTATACACGTGGTCACAACACTATAGTACTGTAGTAAACAGTACACACGTGGTCACAACACTATAGTACTGTAGTAAACAGTATACACGTGGTCACAACACTATAGTACTGTAGTAAACAGTATACACGTGGTCACAACACTATAGTACTGTAGTAAACAGTATACACGTGGTCACAACACTATAGTACTGTAGTAAACAGTACACACGTGGTCACAACACTATAGTACTGTAGTAAACAGTATACATGTGGTCACAACACTATAGTACTGTAGTAAACAGTACACACGTGGTCACAACACTATAGTACTGTAGTAAACAGTACACACTTGGTCACAACACTATAGTACTGTAATAAACAGTATACACTTGGTCACAACACTATAGTACTGTAGTAAACACTATACACGTGGTCACAACACTATAGTACTGTAGTAAACAGTACACACGTGGTCACAACACTATAGTACTGTAGTAAACAGTACACACGTGGTCACAACACTACAGTACTGTAGTAAACAGTACACACGTGGTCACAACACTATAGTACTGTAGTAAACAGTACACACGTGGTCTGCGTGTGACACACACACGTGGCACTGCGTACTTTCGTTGTCCCCCTCGTGTTTCGTCACGCCGCGGTCACGTGAGCCGCGCGCCCCTCCCCCCGCGGGGGGGGGGGGGGTCACGTGACGCTGCCGCGCCGGGAGGAAGCGGGCAGCAGCGGCAGCTACAGGAATGGAGGCGCTGCTGCGCGTCCCCTCCTTCAGGCAGGAGGGCGCGGACGCGGAGAGGGCAGCCTCCTCCTCGTCGTCGTCCCCCTACACGGTGAGGCGAGTAGCGGCGGCGGCGGCGGCGGCGGCTGCGGCTGCTGCTGCAGGGGGAGGAGGAGGGAAGAGAGAGCGGAGACACGGGGCCGAGGCCGAGCCGCGGAGGAGCAGGACTCACCCGCACAGGCCCAGGCCCAGGGCTCCGGGAGGGAGGCCCCCTGGGGGTTCACGCGGGCGCAGTGCGGGATCACGCCGGGGGTGTGGTCGGGTTGTAGTGTGGTCAGGTTGTAGTGTGTGGTCAGGTTGTAGTGTGGTCAGGTTGTAGTGTGGTCAGGTTGTGGTGTGTGGTCAGGTTGTAGTGTGTGGTCAGGTTGTAGTGTGGTCAGGTCCTAGTGTGTGGTCAGTTGCAGTGTGTGGTCAGGTTGTAGTGTGATCGGGAGGTGGTGTGGTCATGTTGTAGTGTGATCAGGTTGTAGTGTGTGGTCAGGTTGTGGTGTGTGGTCAGGTTGTAGTGTGTGGTCAGGTTGTAGTGTGGTCAGGTCGTGGTGTGTGGTCATGTTGTAGTGTGGTTAGGTTGTGGTGTGTGGTCATGTCGTGGTGTGTGGTCATGTTGTTGTGTGATCAGGTTGTAGTGTGGTCAGGTTGTGGTGTGTGGTCAGGTTGTAGTGTGTGGTCAGGTCGTAGTGTGGTCAGGTTGTGGTGTGGTCAGTTTGTAGTGTGATCAGGTTGTGGTGTGTGGTCAGGTTGTAGTGTGTGGTCAGGTTGTGGTGTGTGGTCAGGTTGTAGTGTGGTCAGGTTGTAGTGTGGTCAGGTTGTAGTGTGGTCAGGTTGTAGTGTGATCAGGTTGTGGTGTGTGGTCAGGTTGTGGTGTGGTCAGTTTGTAGTGTGGTCAGGTTGTAGTGTGATCAGGTTGTGGTGTGTGGTCAGGTTGTAGTGTGGTCAGGTTGTAGTGTGATCAGGTTGTGGTGTGTGGTCAGGTTGTAGTGTGTGGTCAGGTCGTAGTGTGGTCAGGTTGTGGTGTGGTCAGTTTGTAGTGTGATCAGGTTGTGGTGTGTGGTCAGGTTGTAGTGTGTGGTCAGGTTGTAGTGTGGTCAGGTTGTAGTGTGGTCAGTTCGTGGTGTGTGGTCAGGTCGTGGTGTGTGGTCAGGTTGTGTGTGGTCAGGTCGTGGTGTGTGGTGAGGTTGTGTGTGGTCAGGTTGTAGTGTGTGGTCAGGTTGTGTGTGGTCAGGTCGTGGTGTGTGGTCAGGTTGTAGTGTGGTCAGGTCGTGGTGTGTGGTCATGTTGTAGTGTGGTTAGGTTGTGGTGTGTGGTCAGGTCGTGGTGTGTGGTCATGTTGTAGTGTGGTCAGGTTGTAGTGTGTGGTCAGGTTGTAGTGTGGTCAGGTTGTATCGTGTGGTCAAGTCGTAGTGTGGTCAGGTGGTGTGTGGTCAGGTTGTAGTCTGGTCAGTTTGTAGTGTGGTCAGTTTGTAGTGTGGTCAGTTGTGGTGTGTGGTCAGGTTGTGGTGTGGTCAGGTTGTAGTGTGGTCAGGTTGTGGTGTGTGGTCAGGTTGTAGTGTGGTCAGGTTGTAGTGTGTGGTCAGGTTGTAGTGTGTGGTCAGGTTGTAGTGTGGTCAGGTAGTGTGGTCAGGTTGTAGTGTGGTCAGGTCGTGGTGTGGTCAGGTCGGGCCCTGGTGTCTGGTGAAAACGTGGTGTGTGGTCGAGGCGTGGTGTAGTCAGGTTGTATTGTGGCCAAGTTGTCATGGTCGGGATGTACTGTAGTCGGGATGTGGTGTAGTCAGGTTGTAGTGAGGTCGGAACGTGGGGTGGTCAGGTTGTGATGTGGTCAGGTTGTTGTGGTTTGGCGGATACGTGGTGTGGTTGGGGCATGGTGTAGTCACATTGTGATGTGATTGCGCTTGCTGTGGTCAAATTGTTGCGTGGTCGGGGCGTGGTGTGGCCAATTTATGGTGTGGTCAGATTGTGGGGTGTTCGAAAAAGCTTGGGTGTGGTCATATTTGTGATGGTGGGGGTGTGGCCCAGTAGAGCCAAGTGGGTTCCTCATTTGAAGCAATTGGCGGGACCCCGGGGTCTCATCACTGCCCCGGGGTGGGAAAACCCGCGTAGCGACACGAGTCTTGCCTTATCGACAACAAAACTAGTGTCAATCGATTGGCCTCGTCGAGAGCTACTCGCGGCACTAAGTTTCGTAAAAAGTTGAAAAATTACAAAAACACGTTAAATTCACTGCGGGGGCGGGCTCGCCTCGGCAAAGAAGCTGAGGATCGACGGCTGACCGGAGGGCGTCGGACGCCCCCCGGGGCTTGCGTTTGGCCGGTGGGGTGGCGCCCATCGTGTCGATCGCCGCCTGCTGGCGCTTGTTGGCGCGAGTCTGGGCGGGCGGCGCTTTGCTGTCGGGATCACGAGTGGGCGGACTGAAACATAATAATTATTGACCTGATTTTTGCGGGACCCCGGGGTGCCACCAAATGATTCATTTGTCTATATCGCGGGTATTGAGCCATATTCTTTGCACGTCTGACATGTCAATTACCTTTAAAAAAAATGTTTAGCAGGTAAGGCCCACTGAGCTATATACTGTAGTTCTTTTTCAGATCCGACCTGGCCACAAATGATACCGCAATGAAGTGGTTTATCAGATGGAAATTTATAGCAGCCAAATATACTACAGACGCGTGTTTATAAATGTGGAGGGACGAACTGGAGCAACTGGAGATAAAAACCACGTGACCTCAGGGAAAACATGCAAACTCCAAATATACAGGCGTCGGGGTTGGGATCGAACCCACGACCTCAAACACATGACCTCGAGGTAGTTAACATCTCTCCACTGCGGTGCCCCCTGCATACCTTTAGAATCAACGTGCATTAAGAGTATTTGGCTGCTATAAGTTTCCACATGATAAGCCACTTCGTTGAGCTACCATTTGTGGCCAGGTCGCTTCTGAAAAGAGCGAAATGTTATAGCTCAGCCTTACCTGGTAAAATAAAAATAGTTCAAATAGTTTTGTCCGGGCACTGGTTCTGAGAGCCACAAATGTGTTGCAGTTTTATGGACTTTCCTCGACAGTATAAAACATTACAGTTCCTGTACATGTCACTATATACTGTAATTCATTAAGGACTGTCAGTATAACTACAAAACGGACTGCTGTTATGCTGTGTAAATAGTGCATCAACGCAAATTGGTCATCCAATAATCAATGACAAGTTGTGTCTCACAGCCCGACTTGGGTGAAGGAAGAGAACTTGCTCCAGTGATATTTAAATCACGTGCACGTAATTGTTTGCTGGGCTGATGCTGCCAAACTGACTACACGTGTGAGTTAGCATGCGGTGTTGGGTGGCCGACCAGGGATCGAACCCTGGACCTCAGACGTGTGCCGGTTTCTGACGCACGACGGGGTTGCTCCAACGTTACTCGTGACTCGCTGCCCGCTCCGAGCCTGGATGGGCTCGAGCGGCGTCGCTCACGGGGCGCGCGTGCTTCCGCAGGTCTTCAAGGTGGAGGTGACCATGAACGGCAGGAAGCACTTTCTGGAGAAGCGCTACAGCGAGTTCCACGCACTGCACAAGCAGGCAAGGCTCCCTCCTCCTCGCAGTGAGAACCGCCACGCTCTCTCCAGCCTCCACACGGGGGCCCCGCGTTTGCGCAACCGAGATGCATTCACGCCGAAGACACTCGCCGTCGTCCCCCAGTTGTGAGCGCCGTGGCTCAACGGACACACAACTAGTGTGGAGACGATCTACGGCCTGGGTTTCTATTGAACGAGTAACGCACATGCAGGCACACAAATGTGATCCCAGTTTTTGGGACCCCTGAACTCAACCGGGTACAAGGCTGTGAGCACGTGTGCCATGGCTGAACCTGCTGTTGTAGAGTTTTCTCTTCAGATTGCATCCAGCCAGGGCTGGTGGGGGGGGGGGGGGCGTCTCGAGGAACATGTGACCCTAACAAGTTCTCCCTGTGCTCCCCCCCCCCCCGCCGCCGCCGCCTTTTTTCGTCAGCTCAAGAAAGTAATTAAAACCCCCGAGTTCCCACCGAAGCACGTGAGGAATTGGGTTCCAAAAGTCCTGGAGCAGAGGCGGCAAGGGCTGGAGTGTTACCTGCAGGTAGGCGGCGACGGCACGGGCTGCACAGTTTGGCGCGCGCCCGCCGCACGCACACCCGCCCACCGGTCCACCCGTCCACCTGCCCGCCGGCCCACTCGCCAGGCCACCCCACCCATCCAAGCAACCACACCCACCCACCAAGGGCGCGCTCCCCCTTTTTAACACGATTTGCCGGTTTTTCCTCCGAGGGAATCCTGTACGAGAACGAAGAGCTGCCCAAGGTCTTACTGGAGTTTCTCAGCATCCGGCACCTGCCCTCGATTCACAAGGCTGACAGCTACGAGTATGTTGAGAGCGCTGCGCACACGCCCACAGATGCACCGCAGCCAGTGGCATTGTCGCGACATTATCAGCTCAGGGGCTGCGGCAATCGGTCAGGTGGGGCCACAATGTTTGATTTTGTCCCTTCGCACAGTCGCACCTCGGCTATATATCGTGGCTCCTCTTGCCAAATGACATAATTACATGCGTTTTAGTTTTTTTTAAACTGTTGTTGAAAACATATCTCGTGGGTTTTTTTGGGGGTTAGATCGCGTAAATATAAATGTGTGGGTAAGCCCGCCACCACCCGACACAAGCCAAATAATGATGTTTGTCATGTAAACAAAACGTGGCAATTCGTTACTAGCTCAGCACACCGGTGTGTTGGAGAGTAAACCCATAACATTTACAATTCGAGTACAACGTTTTGGCAGTAATTACAACCAGCATCGTCAGGCGACAGCCAAAGTTGTGGAGAAATCCTCCTGTTTCGGTCTTAAATCCTCTTGTTTCATTCTTAGCAGGTGGTGGCGGGTTTAACGACACTTTTTTATTACACGATTTAACCCAAAAAAAATCTCACGCTGGTTGTCAAGGGGACCCCAGATCATAGCTCTGGCCACCAGGGGGGCGCCAAGGTACCCCCCTGCCTGCCCCACCCCAGCTACGCGACTGACCCGAGCCCAGACTCCTGTATGTGCGATTCCAATTGAGTGATTTGCAGGTCATTTTCACAGGATTGGTGATTTTATTTTGGTTTAAAGCTTTCGTGACTGCAGGGATTCATATTCTTGGTTCTTTCGGTAAAGTCACGTAGAAGGGAAACAATAAAATAATAAAATATATATAAAACAATAAAATTCTCACGACGTTTCGACTGCAACACAAGCATTCATCATCAGGTGTGAAAACCACAGCAAGAAAATTTGAAATTTTCTTGCTGTCGTAACGTCGTGAAAATTGTATTGTTGTATATTTTTAGTGTATTGTTTCCCTTCTACGTGACTTTACCGAAAGAACCAAGAATATAGGATTGGGGATGTTTTGGCCACTATACCACTTACAGTGTGTGTGTGTGTTTTATTTAACCCCTTTCGGAGGAAAACAGAAAACCCAGAGGAATCCCATGCAGAACAGGGGCAGAACATACAAATTCCCACACAGAAAGGGTGGCCAAGTTGGGAATCGAACCCAGGCCCCTTCTTGCTGTGAGGCACTAGTGCCGCCACTGCACTGCCGCCCTTCTGCCCGTTTTTCCATTCCCGCCCAGTTCTGTTTACTGGAACGAATGGAGCAGTGTACACCAAAAGTTGAACAACACCCATTGTCTGCCTTAGAAAATATAGATACAAAAAAAAAACTCTGCCTTAGATTAAAAAACAAAACACAAACAGCCATGTTCTCTCCACTGCTTGTCTCCATCGGTGCCAATAAGCGGTGAGTTTGACGGAGGTTTTTTCTCTTTTCAGCTCCTTGGACGATCTCGATTCAGAAGAGCCGAGGTGAGACCGCAGTGTCGCAGTGTCGATGGCGATAATTCCAAACGGGTCGCGGAGTGCTCCCACTGAGCGAGGCATTGCTGCGTGACAATTGCCACGGTGGATCGTCGGCAAGTGCCAGTGGGCGTTAAGACCCACACGGTGTCGTCCTTCACTAAGAGCCGAGCGGCAGGATTGGCGGCATTGATAACACCGATCACGCGCGCTTTTCTGCGCGTTTGGCGTTTGTGTGTTTTCCTCCCGGGTTTTCGGGTTTCCTCTGATAGCTAAAAATAAAATCACACACTGGTATTGGCCAAACATCCCCAATGCTGAACACTTGAAAGTTACTCAATTGTGATCACACATGGCAGCAGCGTCGCTTCGCTCCTGTAAAAAAAACGTGACAGGACCCTCCCTGAAAAGGAGTCTTGAGACTCAGTGAGGCTTTCCTGGGTAAACGAGAGTTAATAAAACAATAAAATGGGTGACTGGCTGAAGGCACACGAGTGGGTGGCGCAGCTATTGATAATTTCCCTCGCCGGTGCAGAGGGTTTTTTCGCACCTTAAGAATCAAATTTGCTAATCCGGCTTTATCCAGCACTAAAGCATTGGTTACCCCAGCCTTTAACGTTCTACTGGGACCGAATGCGTGCAGTGTTCTTCTGCTAAAGACTGCGTTAAAATCTCCCGGTCGAAAATCTTCCCCTCTGGCACCCAATGAGCGCGGCTTAGAGATGCTTGCGTTGTGGCCGCGTGCCGTGTGAAATGGAGGCCCATAGGGCCGACGAGGGTTTCCCCACTTGTGCCTTACGACGCCGCGACGTAGCGCGATGCGACGTGTAAAGCTGGGCCGCAGTAACGACGCGGTTGCCTGCGGTTGCCTGCGGTTGCCTGCGGTGGCCGTGTTCCCCACAGCAGGCTCTGCCACCAGCCGGTGCTGGCCTACTCCCGGGACCCGTACGTACTGCCGGCCATGTCGGGTGAGCACCTCACTCGTCCCTGACCCGCACTCCTCACCTCCTGCTCCTCACCTCCCGCTCCTCACCTCCCGCTCCTCACCCAACGCGCCACACTCGGCGCTCCTCACCCGACACCCGACACTCCACACACACCTCACCTCCCACTAGTCACCCTCCCGCTCCTCACCCAACGCGCCACACTCGGCGCTTCTCACCTGACACCCGACACGCCACACACACCTCACCTCCCACTCGTCACCCTCCCACTCCTCACCTCCCACCCACCATTGCGCGGTCCTCCATGGTGCACGGCCCCCTCCAGAGGCGCTCCACGGCCCGAGTCTCTTCGCAGTGACACGCGTCGGTGTCCTCCGAGTAGCCCTGCATGTTGACCTTTCGCCTGCCTGCTCCAGTTCGGAGGCGGTTTCAATGTACCCACGTTGAGCGACCCGTTCTCTGCGCCGGTGGCGAGGTTCTCTGTGACGTCGATGGGCGTTTGACCCCCCCTTGGTGATTGCGGCGAGCGGTGTTCGCCACTTTTCCGCTCGTGTAGTGCTGTCGGTGATTTTAAGCAGCTCCATTGCGGCTCAGAAGCTTTTCCGTGATATCAGGTGGCGATACGCCGTGATCGTATATCTGTGACCGCTCGCCGTATCCGCACGGCTTGACCGCTCTCAAAGACCAATCGCCTTGACCACTCGCCTTGACCACTCGCCGTGACCGCTCGCCGTGACAGCTCGCCGTGACAGCTCGCCGTTAACCGCCTGCCGTTGACACCTGCGGTTGACCGCCTGCCTTGACCGCCTGCCTTGACCGCCCCGCTGTGATCGTCCGTCTTGACCTCTCGCCAAATCTGCTCACTGTTGACAGCACCAATGGTGATGCCTTTTCCCCCCACAGAGGGCCTCCCCAACATCGTGGTGGACGGTGTTCTGCAGGGCCTGTCCCTGCCGCCCATACAGCAAAGGTGATGGCGACCCCGTGACCCAGCTTCTCATCAGCAAGCGCCTCTTGCCCCTCAATCTGACACTGGAGCGCTTGCGTGTCTGCACCGTCACTCACTCGCCATTCCCTCTGGGCAAGTGACCGAGCGAGTGCACTTGACCCTCTTGTTGCACGGAGACTCTGTTATCTGCATCACTGAATGTTTGTAACGGCAGCTATAGTACGGGCGGGGTGGGGTTGTTTGTTTTTATTTCAACCTTGTATCCACATACAGCATATCATTTACACAGCATTAATATATTACGGGATAGACGTGTGTACCGTAGGTTTTTAAAAAGAATTGAAAGTTAAACATATTATGAGACCTTGTTGATAGTCTTACTTGAAACATTTAATGGAGATTAAAGCGAGCTTTGAAATCACAAGTACATAGCAAGAACTGCATGAAGGACACTTTAAAAAGTAAACTTGGCATTAACATACAGTATAGTAATCATCGTAATGCGTGTGTGCTGTTGCATAGATGTGACAATCACAGGGATGGCTGCGCTGCTTGGCTTAGGATTACAGTAAGCCCTCGTTTAACACGGTAGACGAGGTTCTGAAAACTGCCGCGTTAAGCGGAATGCGCGTGAAGATAAAACATTTTGTCATAAATAAAGGGGTTACAATAAAGTTTGGCGACATGTACGATGTACTACGGACGCCCGGTGAGATGGCGGCACAAATAGCTTGAGGCTGTGCGCCGCCGCGTTACTGTATCGTTCCGCTTAATGTATTCCTCCGCTCAGCCGCGCAAGCTCAAGAAAGTAGTTCATCATCGACCGCATTACATAAACAACAGAAGGATTCCCTAATGAAGGGAGCTGCGTTATGGCGAAAACGCGGTGCGTGCGCAAACGTTAAGCGAGGACTTGGCGTACGTTCCTGCCACCATCCAAACGTAAACCCATCAAAACGGCACGGCGAAGCAGACGAATCGGTGCTGGAGCCGTGTTTCCGGCGCTGTGTTTGCGGCAGATGTAAACACTCGTTGGTGTGGGAACACACAAAGAGACCGATTGCAGTTTTGTGGCATTACTTTCTGCATGGCTGTGGCCTGCCGATGATTGATAGTCGTAGTGAAATCTGCACTCTCTTGCCATGAAGGAGGGAGGACATAAGAGGGATTGTACTGCGCTGATGATCCCTAATATAGGGCGAAACTCCAGTACGCGATAGGTCGTGTTGTATTTACCACCATGACATTTTAACAAGGCAGCGCGCATTCTGGTGACTTGAGAGCCCAACAAAAGGCTGCGATGCAGCCTCATCCTCGTCGAGGAGCATAAACCAATCGCGCAAACTACGGTCATCCTCGCAGTAGCGGTTTTTGGCCAACCATAGAACAAAGATGGTCACTGCGTCGCGTGGCGCTTTCAGATGCGCTTCTGTGGCCATTTGGAACGCTCCTTCCGATATTAGGAAGACACTGGGGATATGCACTTTTAAAATCTCGTTGTAAAACTAATTTCTTTATAACTGATCTTTACGTTTAGTTTGTTGCCCCTTCCCCCCCACCCCCGCCACACCTCGGATTTGCACGGTTGGCTACGTACGGTGCGAAAGACGTTCAACATACATACGTATATGCACGCATACATACTCGCACCGGGTTGGCAAAGTGCACTGCGTTGTTGGTTTGCCCGCGGCGAGTGCCGGGGGGGGGGGGGGCGGGGGATGCCAATGGTGCTGTAGCCGCGCGGAGTTCGACGCGACATCCCCTCTGCCGCCTGCAGCTTTGTCCAAAAACGACGATGGCTCCAAAAAAGTTAAACTGTTACCCGCATGCTTTATCGATGTTTATACTTTATTAACAGTGTACATTTTTGTCAACTCGAGGGCTCCTCTCTTGTGTGTTTTTTTTTTCAAAACGACCCATTGAGCTGTTTCGGTGTCGACTGTTGGGTGTGCGCCGACTACTGACTTTCCTGCTGACTGTGCTTGAACAGTGTGCCAGTAGTGGGGCAATGGTCACTCAACCAGATGCAGCACACACGTCGGCGCGTTTCACTTGCCATGTCTTGCAGAATTTCGCCGGGCTACAGAGGTCTACACTACGGGCCGAGATTTGCACCTTAATGAGACGAGGATCTCTGTGGCCTGGCTGGGGTGCAGTGTTGGGACAGTGGAAGGTGGCGGTGTGCGTTGTAAGGAAGCAGCTGGAAGCGTTCGGGTGTTGATTGCTGTCCGAGACGGGCCCGGGGAGGCTGCTCATAGTCAGCCGCAAGCTCGCTGCTGTTAACACTACTGCATGTCTGTGAACGTGAGAGGCTGCCGCCCTTGACGCCGTTTTGAAGCGGGCAATATTGCTTGTACCGTTATACGCAGAGAAAAAACGAGGGCCGGTGTCTCCATGGACACTCGGCGGTTCTAAATGAAGTCAACGGCGTCTCGCTTAACTTTCCCACTGCGAATGAAAATCAAAATTGCGTTCACCCGAAGCAGGGCCATCCATTGGCCCGGGATAAATCAAACTAAACTGGAAGTATTACAGCTGACACGTCGAAGTGTGCTCCCTCCTCCTCCCTCCTCCCCCTCCTTACCGCCTATTCCTCCCCCCTCCTCCTTACCCCCTCTTCCTCCCTCCCCCCTCCTCCCTCCTTCCCCCTCTTCCTCCTCCTCCCCCCCTCTTCCTCCCTCCGTCCTCCTCCCTCCCCCCTCCTCCTCCCCCCCTCCTCCCTCCTCCTCCCTCCCCCCTCCTCCCCCTCCTTACCGCCTATTCCTCCCCCCTCCTCCTTACCCCCTCTTCCTCCCCCCCCCCCTCTCCCTCCGTCCTCCCTCCCCCCTCCTCCCCCCTCCTCCCTCCTCCTCCCTCCCCCTCCTTACCCCCCTTCCTCCTCCCCCCCCCTCTTCCTCCGTCCTCCCCCCTCCTCCCATTGCGTTCCGATTGGCTGATTGTGCAGCTGAGAATACCAGTGGTACAAGCATTGGCTCGAAAGGGCCCTGTTGTTGGTCAAGTTGTTCACCTTTTAATTTCAGAAAATACAATTTTAACTTTGCATTGTATTTAACGCCTTATAGGAATATCGCCGTAATGATTCAAGGTAATGACATTGTAGGACAGACGGTGATTGTGCTGTTTTCTGCCCGTTCGTACACGATGCGTATTATTTGATGCAACAAACTATGCCCTCGAGTCACAGAGCACTGTTAAAAAAGAGTCCTCGGAACTCACTGAATTATATTATTTAAAACGAAAATGTCACGTGTGATAACACGTCTTCGTGTAAATGCAATAAAAGCAAAATGCTGTTATGACATTCAGAGTGTGCGCGTTCCTCCTCAACGAAGTCCGGCGGCTGGGCGCGTGTGGTCCGTTGAACTCACGACTCCGTCACCTGCAGTTGCTGCTGCTGCAGTTGCTGCTGTTGCTGCAGTTGCTGCTGCTGCAGTTGCTGCTGCTGCAGTTGCTGCTGTTGCTGCAGTTGCTGCTGCTGCAGTTGCTGCTGCTGCAGTTGCTGCTGCTGCTGCAGTTGCTGCTGCAGTTGCTGCTGCTGCAGTTGCTGCTGCTGCAGTTGCTGCTGCTGCAGTTGCTGCTGCTGCAGTTGCTGCTGCAGTTGCTGCTGCAGTTGCTGCTGCTGCTGCTGCAGTTGCTGCTGCTGCAGTTGCTGCTGCTGCAGTTGCTGCTGCTGCAGTTGCTGCTGCTGCAAGTGCCTGTGCATTTGCTGCTGCAGTTGCTGCTGCTACAGTTGCTGCTGCAGTTGCTGCTGCTACAGTTGCTGCTGCTGCTACAGTTGCTGCTGCTGCAGTTGCTGCTGCAGCAGTTGCTGCTGCTGCTGCAGTTGCTGCTGCTGCAGTTGCTGCTGCTGAAGTTGCTGCTGCAGTTGCTGCTGCTGCAGTTGCTGCTGCTGCTGCAGTTGCTGCTGCTGCAGTTGCTGCTGCAGTTGCTGCTGCAGTTGTTGCTGCTGCAGTTGCTGCTGCTGCTGTAGTTGCTGCTGCTGCAGTTGCTGCTGCAGTTTGCTGCTGCAGTTGCTGCTGCTGCAGTTGCTGCTGCAGTTGCTACAGTTGCTGCTGCAGTTACTGCTGCTGCAGTTGCTACAGTTTCTGCAGTTGCTGCTGCAGTTGCTGCTGCTGCAGTTGCTGCTGCTGCTGCTGCAGTTGCAGCTGCAGTTGCTGCAGTTTCTGCAGTTGCAGTTTCTGCAGTTGCTGCTGCTGCTACAGTTGCTGCTGCTGCAGTTGCTGCTGCAGCATTTGCTGCTGCTGCTGCAGTTGCTGCAGCTGCTGCAGTTGCTGCTGCTGCAGTTGCTGCTGCATTTGCTGCTGCAGTTGCTGCTGCAGTTGCTGCTGCAGTTGCTGCTGCTGCTGCAGCTGCTGCTGCAGTTGCTGCTGCTGCTGCAGTTGCTGCTGCTGCTGCAGTTGCTGCTGCAGTTGCTGCTGCTGCAGTTGCTGCTGCTGCAGTTGCTGCTGCTGCAGTTGCTGCTGCTGCAGTTGCTGCTGCTGCTGCTGCAGTTGCTGCTGCACCATGCCCAGTGCAGTGCGTTCTCTCAGTCAGTACCGCTTGCAGAGTTTCCCAAACGCCAGTCGGCGCTACCCACCACCACCACCACCGTGCTCCGGCCTCTCCGCGTTCATCAACGTACTCCTCCCCCCATTCAAATACAAATTAACTCTTTCCACGCTGCACTCGCCCGATGATTGTTAAACACCTCCCGCCTGACGCGCTAAGCAATTAACTCTCCCCGCCCGCATTAATAGAGCAGATTCCATATTTCATTGAGATGTGTGCGTGTGTGCGCACATGTGTAAACATCACCAATGGAAAGACAAAGGCAGTCGGGCGTTGTGCTCGCCACCCATCCCCATAGAAAATTAACCGTGCTGCTGACACAGGCAAAACCAATGTTAATGATATTGCTCACCTGCCAATACTGGACATCTGTGAAAAATAACTTCATAGCTCATCGGGTTCTTCCAGTCAGTCTTGACTTAAGATTCTGATTTATTAGGCAATGCTCACGACTGCACCCCCCCCCCTACCTGCGCCCAGATTCAGTTGGTACGGTCCAAAATCATAACCCTGCCGCTTATGTAACCCGATGAACGTTGCACGCATCACAGCGATGGAATGGTAGTTATGTGTGTTGAACCTCTTTCGCACCGTACGTAGCTAACCGTGCTAATCGGAGGTGCGGGGGAATGACAATATACCTGTCAACCCATACGGTTTATCCCCGTATTCTTGTACAGGGAAATTGAGTTTTCAGGTCCATACGGCGTACAGCCGTTTCACTACGGGCAAAAACAAATATCTGTCTATTTGTTTGTGTTTCTCCCTTGTGATGGGACTTTGTATGGACGAACGTTGAGATGTATAAGGGCACGGGATGACCAATTAGGTCTGAGTTGGTATCTAATAAGGAAGGGCACCAGTAAGTGTAAAGGCAGAACACAATGGAGGATGGGGTCCACCGGCAATAGGGGAAGCGGGTGATGAGAATCAGATCACCGTTAGGGACCCCCCCCCCCCCCGCCAACAACACCTGGATAGCAAAGGGTGAGTGGAGGAAGACCCAAGCTAGATTTGCTCGCGATCTCCGGCCAGCAGGGAGCAGGAACGGTTTTTGAAAACCTCAAAGCGTCTCAGCTTGGACACGCGGTGGGGGAGCAGGGTGAAGGGCAGAGGAGCCAGCAGTCGCCGGCTCCCTTCCTCCTGGGACCACGGTGGCAGGCCGGGGTTGGCACACGGTTTCCTTGTGAATGTAGCCCAAAAGTGGGTGGTAAACGCCATCTCTAAGGCTAAATGTGACTTTTAAGGGTGTGTGTGTGTTCGGGAACACGTAGCCTCTGGTGCGAGTGTGCGGATAAAGGGGTCGTCCTGGGGTATAGCACAAGGCGCTTAAACAAATGTTAAACGCTTCTGAGAATTCGCTAAAGTACCACGGGCTCTGGAGACCACCTGGAGAAGATTCCAGGCCACGTGTTGACAATGATGGCGAACGAGTGGAGACTCTTGACTTTTTAAAGTTACTAACATTACATTTCATACCATGTTACAGTGTATATATATTATCCGTCCTTTTCCATGATAAACGATAGTCTCATGTAAGTACTCTTTGGTTCTTTCGGTTAAGTCACGTAGAAGGGAAATAATAAAATAATAAAAATACAATTATCACGACGTTTCGGCCACAACACAAGCAGCCGTCCTCAGGTGAAGAAACAGAGCTGTCGGAAAGACAGCGCTCCAATGAACACTGCTAAGCTTGGCAGCGCCTTTAAAGCTGGGTGGGAGGAGCAGAGCGCTTTGACAAAGGAGTTTACATATCAACAGAAGAATTTAGCATTGAAGTAGGTGTGTCAATGTGAGAGATTAGCAGG